TGGATCTCTGGTAGGGCAGGTCTGATCTTTAGTCGAGGGCTTTGTCGCCCGTGTCAGTCTCTCCGGTACCCACAGTGGTTCTCGTCCCGATTCCTGTGGGAAAACACAAACCGCGCCTCGGTTCCAGCTGACCACTGGATCCGGGCCCATCCATTGTCCTGTCAGGACATCTTTCCACTTCACCCACCCTTTATGGTTGGGGGAAGGGTTGCAGTGCTCCACGGCTGGGGAGCAATTATCATTATTTAAATTTAAAAAATTGTGTGTGAATAGTGCCATGGATAATCGTGCCTTTGGGGCCAGGCCTTGGCCTACTCCCCCTTTTTGTTTTTGTAAAATTTCTTTGAGGCTTCTATGAGCCCTCTCAATGATTCCTTGACCTTGGGGATTGTATGGGATACCATGTTTTAATTGAACCTCCATCATTTTGCAGAACTCATTGAAGGCTCTGCCTATATAGGCTGGTCCATTATCAGTTTTTAATATTTTTGGTTTGCCCCATGCGGCCCAAGCCGCCAGGCAATGATTGATCACATTAGACACTTTTTCACCTGTTTCTGCTGTTGCGAATATGACGTGAGAACAGGTGTCTGTGGAAACATGAACATATTTAAGAGTCCCAAACTCCTGTATATGTGTGATGTCCATCTGCCAAACATCACCAGGGATCAAACCTCGAGGGTTTACTCCCATCGGTATGGCAGGTTTGTATGTGGCACAGGAGCCACATAGTCGCACGATATCTCGTGCATCTGCTCTGGAAACATGGAAATGGTTTGCTAGTGTCCTGGCATTGACATGAAACTTATCATGGAAGGCACGGGCTCGCTCGATTGGTGTTAGTAAGGTAAAAATCCATAACGGGCGAGTGGCAGTATCAGCAGCCGCATTCCCCTGTGCCATAGGCCCTGGCAGGGATGTATGTGCTCTTATGTGGGTGGTGAAGACCTTATGGTGTCTGTTCTGAAGCAATGTCTGGATAGACAGGAACAGCCCAGCCACTGTGGAAGTGGATCTAATTAAACCGGCAGTCTCAAGCACTTGCATAGCATTGACCACATACCTAGAATCGGAGACAATATTAATGGCTTCTGAGAACCGTTCAAGAATCATTTTAACGATCTGTAGTTCTACCACCTGAGGCTGATCAGGTTTAAATTGTATGGTAACCGGGGGCTTGCCTAGGATCACATAGGCGCCTATCCCCGTCTTGGATCCATCTGTGTATATTGTAGTTGCTGGGACTAATGGCTCAGAGGCAGTAACCTTTGGAAAAATTATAGGGTGCTGAGTGACAAATGACAAGATAGGGTCTTTAGGGTATTGATTGTTTATATCCCCATGGAAAACACATCTCAGAATGGCCCACGTATCTATGCAGGCAGCCAGGGTCTTGATCTGGCTGGCGGTATAGGGTACTCGGATGGCTTGTGGTCCTGAGCCAAAATGTTGGACAGCTCTATCATGCGCTTCAAGGGCCAATGAAGCAACTGCCTCCGGGTAATGCTCTATGACTTTTGCAGGTGAGACCTTAGGGTGTATCCACAGTAATGGTCCTTTCTGCCAAATCACCGCTGTGGGCTGTAGACTAGTCTGTAGCAAACAGACATCAAAGGGTCGCCCTGGTTCAATTCTGTGTAAGGTAGCCCCACCTAAGGCTTTTTCCACTCTCTGTAAGGCAGCTCTTGCCTCAGGAGTGAGCCTCCTGTGGGAGGCTATATCTGGGTCTCCCTTTAGAAGGTCGAACAGGGGTTTGAGATCTGAATTTGGTATATGTAAATATGGCCTAATCCAATTAATGTCTCCCAATAGCTTTTGCATGTCATTTAGGGTCCTAACGCCATCCGTCCTAATGGTGACCTTCTGTGGAGAGACTAGCATAGGGGAGATTCTCGCGCCTAAGTAGGTCACCATTTCTCCTCCCTGAATCTTGTCGGGGGCAACATGTAGATTAGCTTGTCTCAGGGCCTCGACCAACTGGCCGAGCATATTATTTAGCATGTCTGGGTCCCTGCCGCTGAGCAAAAGGTCGTCCATGTAATGCACACATCTTATCTTGGGAAAGGATTTCCGTAGGGGGGCCAATAGGGAATCAAGGTAAATCTGACACATAGTGGGACTGTTGGCCATACCTTGGGGCAGCGTTATCCACTCGTATCTGAGATCAGGGCTTTCTTGGTTAATGGTGGGTAAAGTAAAGGCGAACCTATGAGTGTCCTCTGGATGCAGGGGGATTGAGAAGAAACAGTCTCTAAGATCTATAACATAAACTGGCCAGGACTGAGGGATGGCTGAGAGAGCTGGCAGCCCCCTCTGGACCGCCCCCAGGGACTGCATCTGCGCGTTGACCGTCCTTAGATCATGGAGCAGCCTCCACTTGCCAGACTTTTTCTTAATTATAAAAATGGGGGTGTTCCATGGGGAGGTTGACGGCTTAATGTGTCCTAATCTAAGTTGTGTACTGACTATTTCTGACAAGGCTAATAGCTTCTCCTTAGGCAGGGGCCACTGAGGTACCCAAACCGGATCATTTGACCTCCAGGTGATTTTGATCGAAGTGGGTAGGAGAGCTTCTTCAGCGGCCCCTAAGAAAAACCCAGCCCTTGCCTACCTTTTTTGTTCTCTACTGGTATTGGGGATGTCCGACCCTGTAGGGCATTGCCCAAGCCTTTGCCGGGGGTATATCCCTGGTTCCTGAGTATATCCTTAGCCTGGGGGGAGCAGTTTGACGTAAGCGTGACATCCATCTGAGTGAGGATGTCCCTTCCCCATAGAGACACTGGCAACTGCAACACAAATGGTTGGAAATGGCCCTGATGACCCTCCTCATCACACCAGAGCAGGGTTGAAGCACTAACCTGAGGAGCTGACACCATCCCCAGGCCCTGCAGCGTGTTATCTGCAGTGTTGGTGGGCCAGTTGGAGGGCCAATCCTTTCTAGAGATAATGGAACGGTCAGCTCCTGTGTCTAGGAGCCCTGTTATATTCTTGCCATTGACCTTAAGTGAGAGCATGGGCCTTTTATCAAGTATTATATGGAGTCCCTCGAAGACTTCCCCTGAGGAACCGAAACCTTGACTTCCTCTAATTTTCTGCTTTGAGGGAAATCTCTTGTGGAGACTGGGGAGCAGCAAGAGCTGCGCTATCTTGTCTCCTTTATTGATTACCATAGTACCCACAAGAGATTGAACCATAATTTTAATGTGTCCTGTGTAGTCTGAGTCTATGACCCCCGGGACTACTATGAGACCCCGAAGGGCCGTGGAGGATCTCCCGATCACCAGACCCACGGAATTTTCGGGTAACGGTCCCTTAAAGGTGGTTTCAACCACTTGAACACCCATATCAGGCACTAATATAAGTCTGGAGGCGACACTGAGGTCCACACCTGCTGACCCAGGGGTGGCCCTTGTTGAAGGCTGCCATCCTGAGCTGTCCTGTCTCTGGGGCGGGGGCCCGCCTGTGAAGGGGGCCCCCTCTGGCCGTTTTTTGGCTCTCTAGCATCTCGTCCACAAATACGGTTGCCCTGAGCATCAAAGACCGACCTACACTCCTCAGCTTTGTGTGATCCCCTCTTGCATCGCCCACAAACATATGGTTCTTCATTCCTAGGGCGAGGCCTAGCATCTGCATTGTTTGGGCAATGACGTTTAATGTGTCCTGGCTCCCCGCAGGCAAAACACCCTTTAGCCTTACATTCCCCTTCTAACCCTCGAGGTCCCCTCTGCTGTACAGCCGCGGCCAGGAGAGCAGCCACTCCCGAGTTGGAGAGCGGCCCCCCTATCTCTCTGCATATCCTAATCCAGGTGTTGAGGTCCTTGTTCTTATGAGGAGCTATCGCTGCCTTGCACTCCTTTGTACATTGCTCAAAAATCAGCTGCCTTACCAGCGGTCGAGCCACTCCCGGATCAGAAAATATCTTATCGGCAGCATCTTGCATTCGGGCCACAAAGTCAACAAATGGCTCTGTGGTACCCTGAATTACTGGGAAAGAACCCTGCGACTCCTTATCGAGCGACTTAGGCTCCTGACAGCTGGTCTCTTTGGCCTCCTTGCCATTCAACTTTCCCTCGTCCTCGGAGTCAGACGACTCCGAGGCTAGAGCCCCATCCTTCTCCTTAGCATCTTTGTTCCCCTTGACGGGCCCCTCTCGGGAGCTCCCCGACTGGGCCTGCTCAAATACCCTGCGTACTTTTGTAAGCTCTTGAGAGCTTTCTCCACAACCACCCTCGCTCTTAGTGTTGCTACCTAGCATGTTTCCCATTTTTTAATATGTTACTCACCGCGTGAGGCCCAAGGAATCCGCCACTTACGCGTGAGCCTGAGGGGAGTCTAAAAGCCCTGTAGGTGCGCGCCACCCAGAGCCCAGGCTTATCCCCAACTCACCTGTCTCTCAGCTCTGTACTGGAGCGTTGTCCGCTGTCACGTCTCGGGGGTGATCAGTCCCCGTGCGGGCCTCCAAATGTCGATGTCCGCTCCCGGCCGGCAGGAAGGACACACGACAAAGTCTGGCAGTGGACAACCTTTTCTTTTATTTTCCTTCTCCGTACAGCCTGCCCTGGGATCGCTCCCAGCCGAAGCCTCCTTTGGTCCGCTCCCCGCGGCTCCTTCTGGGCTTCTACTTCCGGGCTTCTTCTTCCCCCCAAGGGGTGGCACCAGTATATATACGGATACAGTGTCCAATCATGTTAAAGTAAGCAAGGCAAGCTGATTGGCTAACATCATCAGTTGCCAGGCAGACTATATTGTTGAGCGGGTTGCTTACGCGGTAAGCAGGAAACTAACGTGCTCGATGGGAGGGGTAATCTACCTCAGGCTTTACTCTTTACTACAGGCCTCACGTCCGCCAAGTGAGGCGACCGGGCTCGGGGCTGCGGCTCCCAACAATCCCCCTGTCCTTTCTGTGAACCAGCTGAATCTCCAGGCAGCTGCACTGTGGCTGTGTTGGAGAAGCTGTTGAATGACCACGTGTATGCTCTGCTGTGTGGTCACTCCTGCAGATGCTGGACGAGAACCACCACCTGATCCAGTGTATCCTGGACTACCAGAGCAAGGGCAAGACGGCCGAGTGCACCCAGTAAGTCCGCCACGTCTGCCCCGAGGGAGTGTCCCTGTTGGGGAACCCAGATGTGTCTTTGAGCAGCTCCCCCGCCCCCACAGCGCGCAGAGGGAATGGGGGAGTGGAAAGAGGCAGAGAGCTGTGCCCAGCACAGCCCACAGTTGTATAGCCAGCTCCCCTGGGGCTCCCAGGGCCTGACACAGGGCATAGAGTAGGCTGTGCTGACCATCAGCCGTGCTTGGGGGTAGGACGTGTGGAGCGCCTTCAAAGCTGCCCCTGCCGGGTGTGACCTGTGTGAGAGGCTTTGAACCCCATCCTCATGGTTCCGTGTGTTTACGCGGCCTGGGACCCAGGGGTGATGTGTGCAAGGCTCCCTGGATTCCCCAGATTGTCTCCGTTTCCTTCCTGTGCTTCTCAGGGAGTCGGCACCATCAAGTTAGCCTGATGTCCTGCTCGGCAGGAGCAAGGCCCTGGCCCTGGCCTCTCCTCTGCCACCTGCGGGCCCCGCCTCCCCGCAGCCTTCTCCCAGCCTCCATTCTCTGAACGGGCCCAGCACCACCTCCCTTCCAGCCCCATCGCAGTATCTTTCTAGAATTGTCACGGGTAGGAGCATACAGGGAATTTGGCTGGACCTACTGCCCACTGTCCCTTCCTGGACTACTGTGTGCTGCCCTGTGCTGTTTCCAGCTGGGTAGCCAGGCCAGTGCCTGGCTGGTTGTCTTCCGGGGCCACTGTCCTGCAGCCCCTTGGCTGGAGGTCCCTGTCTCATGGATGCACCCTCACCACAGGTACCAGCAGATCCTGCACCGGAACCTGGTCTACCTGGCCACCATAGCAGACTCCAACCAGAACATGCAGTCCCTCCTCCCCGCTGTGAGTACCCACCAGCTGGAGAAGTGGACCTCCCCCTTACCAGCAAGGATCAGACTGCTGCAGAGCAGGTTCTGAGCGTGGCACCTCAAGTCGGAAAGTGACCCACAGGACCCCAACACCAGGGGAGGTTCAGGACCTGGGGGTGTGGGGACAGTGACAGGGTCCTTCCTGGGATGCACGGGTGAGGCACGGTGTCTGAAGTGGATGAGTAGTGGGGCCGCGAGCTTTTTAATGGGGGGAGGTGACTCCATTAGGAGTGACAGACAACAGGTGTCTTGACAGGCAGAGCGGAGTGGGGGTCTCGCTGGCCATTGTTCCCCCCTTTTTCTTGTGCTGGGGGTCAGTCCCAGGGCTGGCACACTGTAACTCTGAGTCCTTCTGTGCGGTGTGAGCAGTTGTAGCCCGGACACATGCACTGCTGTGATCAAAAGCAGATCTGAAAGGGAAAAATCTCAGCGCCATCAGATGTCGATATAAATGTTTTATTTCCTGTTTGATTTTTTTTTAAGTGCATTTTCTTCAAATTAAATTTTGACTATGAAGCGAGATCCTATGGCTGCAGCCTTGGCCTCCTTGTGCTGAGAAGGAGAGCACAGAGCAGAGCAGGACCAGCCCAGCTTGGGCGGGGCCGGCAGCGAGGTGTCAGGACACGTGTGTCCAGGGACGGCTCACCCTCCAGTGCCCCTGTTCTCCTGTAAATGGGGACGTTCATGAACACAGACTGTGAAGCCCGCCTTGACTGGCCTCTCGGATCCAGTCCTCGAGGGCAGAGACCAGAAGATCCCGCTAGACGCTTTCTTTTTATGGCCAGGGGCAGACAGCACCCATGTCCGAACCTTGGGAGCCAGTGTTAGATAAGAGCTAGAAGCACGGGCCGGGGTCACCGGTGCTGTCTTCCTCCCTGCCAGGCCCCGTGGTCAGAGGTGGGCTGGGGGAATGGAGCCTGGGGCGGGGCGGGGAGTAGACACAGGAATACAGGAAGCGGCAGGAAGCCAGCTGTGCAAAGGCCTAAGACACCGCGAGTGTGGATGCTGAGTGCCAGGACGGCAGGGAGGCTGCAGGCTGGGGCCAGGGAAGGAGCTCCCTTCCCCAGCAGGGACCCCGGCTTTCAGCATCTGAAGCCGTGTGTATAAACACAGCTCCCACCTGTGTCCTGAATGCTGCTATGGGCCATATTACGTCTCATCTTGGCCTGAAGTGCTCTGGCCTGGTGACCTTGACTGTCCTGCTGAGTGTGATGGTGGCTGTAGGTTTAGGACCTCCAGCAGATGGCTGTGAATCCCTGGGGTGGCTTGTGGTGGTTCTCTGACCTCACTGTCCTCCCCTAACCGTGCCATTACCTGCAGCCACCAACCCAGAACATGAACCTGGGCCCTGGAGGGCTGAGTCAGAGCGGTTCCAGCCAAGGCCTCCACCCCCAGGGCAGCCTCAGCGATGCCATCAGCACTGGCCTCCCCCCAGCCTCCCTCATGCAGAGCCAGATCGGCAATGGTGAGTGCAGCTCTTCACCGAGGGGAGAGCCCAGGGCCTAAGTCAGCAGGAGGTGAGCGTCCACGGCTGGGCACAGTGCCCAGTGGTGCAGCTCCAGCCCCACTCTGGTCGGACACTGTCAGGCGGGGCCGCTTCAGAGGCAACCTGTGTGAATTTCTAGTAAGAAAGGGTCGTTCCCGTCTTCAGATTGGGAAGTCCTCGCCCTCATTGAGGGCCTCAGCTAAATTCCTGGCCTGTTTATTATCATCACTATTATTATTACTAATTTGAGACAGGTCTCACCAGATCACTAAGTCACTCAAGCTGTGCTCCATGATCTCCTGCCTCAGCCTCCAAGAGTGCTGGCATTACAGCTGTGTGCACCACGCCTCATAGACTGGAAACTTGCAGCAGTTTCCCAGGGGCGTACGGCCCGCCTGGTATCGCACCAGGGTGCTAACGCATCTCCTCGCTCCACCCCAAACCCTTCGCTCCATCCGTGCATGTGGATCTTGGGTTAGCAGCCTGCTGCAAGTGACCTGCAGGAGACCAATGTGTCCTCATCTTGAGGGGCTGACCTGGCCTCCGGCACCTGATGCCCCTTCCCACCCTACTCCCGGCAGGTCCAAACCACGTGTCCATGCAGCAGACAGCACAGAGCACGCTGCCTACCACCTCCATGAGCATGTCCGGGAGCGGCCACGGTACTGCGCCTGGCTACAGCCACTCGGGACCTGCCTCACAGAGCGTCCCCATGCAGGGCCAGGGTGCCATCGGCAACTACGTGTCTCGGACCAACATCAACATGCAGTCCAACCCAGGTACCCGCTCTGCCTGGCTTCAGGAACGTCCTCACAGGGCTGCCCTTGTGAGGGGCACTGGTGCAGAGGGGAGCATGGCACGGTGTGGTGGCCTCTCCTGAGACGCAGGTGCCTCCCTCGCTGTCTCTCTGAGAGACTTAAGGAAGACTCCAAGGAAAGGGCCATGGGCCTGAGGGACAGCACTGGCTCAGAGCAGGGCAGAGTCCAGCCTCGCACAGGGTCACCTGTCAGGGCCACAGCAGTAGGTGGATGAAGATCATCAGCACCAGGCTGGAGCCCCCGAGCGGGTATTCCCAAAGTACTAAAGCCACGAGATTTTAGGGAGTCATTTACTCCAAAAAATATGAAATATCTCCTTAATATTTTTCTTAATAATTCCTTGCTAATAATTTATTTTGGAGAAGTATTAACTCCAGTAAAATATATTGTTAAAACCAGTTTCACCTGTGTTTTTCACATTTTCAGTATGGTTAGAGAAACCTTCCTGACTCCTGTCCTGTTGCTGCTGAACACTGCTGCCAGGGGGTTGGAGCAGATGGCATGTGGATAGCGTGACCCCCCAAAGCCCAGCTCTAGGGACAGAAGGAGCAGGACTGAATTCCCACAGTCCCAGATTGGTGGGGAGCTGCTGGTGTTGCCCCCACGTCAGTACATTTGAGACAGGTGGTGCCCAGGGCTCACATCTGACCTGTGCACCGGAACGTGGGCACAGCTGTGTTGTGGGAGGCGTGGCTTGGAGTCAAGGGTGGTGTTCTCCCGGGGAACCTGAGAAGATGCTAAAGGATCAGCCTGACGAGGAGTCAGGTTTGCAGCAGGAGAGAAAGGAACAGTGCTAAGGCTTCCCCGCCCCAGAGCCCCTCAGAACTCTGAGTGGGGTTCTGTCCTATCTTGTAGTTTCCATGATGCACCAGCAGGCGGCTACGTCCCACTACAATTCCACGCAGGGTGGAAGCCAGCACTACCAGGGCCAGTCATCCATCGCCATGATGGGCCAGGGTGGCCAGGGGGGCAGCATGATGGGGCAGCGGCCTATGGCACCCTACCGGCCCTCCCAGCAAGGTAAGGCCTGTGCCTGCCCCCACAGCTGTGCCCTTGGACAGCAGTCTGCTGCAGAGGGCCGGTGTGTACAGGTTTCTCATGTGAGACTGGGGGGTTGTGAAGTTTACGAGCTCATGTGAACCGGGGTGCTGGGAGGATCTTGCTGTTAGAGGTTGTCACAGGGATGGGCATGGGTCTGATGCCCTGGGTAGTGGGTGCTGGGGGCACCAGAGGCTGGTGCTTGTTCCTGGTGCCGTGTGTGCTGTTTCAGGGCTGGGCATTGGAAAGGAGGAGGCCCAGGGGCCGGGTGGGTGCTTTCATGTGCATGAGGTCTCTGGCAGGTCCTGCCACTGAACTGTCTCAGGTGCAGGGAGCCCTGGCCCGGCTGCCCGCTGGTCCTGAGCGTCGCTTCTGTCCGCAGGCTCTTCTCAGCAGTACCTGGGCCAGGAGGAGTACTACAGCGAGCAGTACAGCCACAGCCAGGGCGCCTCGGAGCCCATGAGCCAGCAGTACTACCCGGACGGTGAGGGCACCACATGCATCAGCCACTCAGCTCACTGTTCCTCAGGCATTCAGAGCTGTCGCCCCGACATTCCTCCATCGAACATCCCGAGTCCCGTGCTCATGCAGATGGGGGTTGGCATGAGGCTGGGTTCTGCAGAGGGCTTCTCCCTTTCCTGAAAGGCTGGAGGGCCACACCATCCCTGCAGTGCACAGAGGTCATCTGTGCAGGATGGGCCAGACCCCCAGAAGAGTGTGTGGAAAGCAGGCAGACCCAGCCTGGCCCTGCAGTCCACAAGCCACTCTCACTTCTGCAGATTGCTCTCTGTTGTCACCGTGGCGGCATCTTTAAATTTCTAGATTTGTGGATGCAGTATTTACAGTGGTCTCAAAGGCAGGCAATTTCAGGAAACAAAGATGGAGCTTCCAAGCTGGGCATGGTAGCACAGGCCTATAAGGCTGAGGCAGAAGGATCCAAGTTCAAGTCCTACCTGGGCAACTTTACAAGGCCCTGTCTTAGAACAAGAACTTTAAAAAGGCTGGGGTCAGAGCTCAGTGTGGAGGATCTGGGTGAAAGAAAGATGGGGCTCCCTGGAGGACACAGTCCATTGGCATCAGCAGATGTGAAGTAGGGGTGCACAGCCAGGCTGGGTGACGGGAGGTGGCAGAGGCCAGCTGCAGGGCAAGCCGTGGGTGTCCCTGGGCTGTGATGGTGCCACACATTGGGGGCCCCTGGGGATCATGGCATGCCCTTCCTGGAACTCCCAGAAGAAGCCAGGCAGGGACGAGAAGGGAGCAGCTGGTGCTGTCACGAAGCAGGCTGTGAATAGACTTGATCCTCTCTGTGAGCTGTAACTTCACCTCGTATAACTCAGGGACAGGAAGTGACATCTGCATCTGAAAGTGAGAGCACTGAGCTTGGCGAGGTTAGGGACACAGCCGCTTGCGGGACCGCTCCTGTCCAGCTCTGCTGCTCTCCCTGCCTGACCTCCTGCCCTGACCCATGGCTCAGCTGACTGTACCTGGAGAGGGCAATGAGAGGCCCCCGCCAGCCGCTGGCCCCCTGTGTCTTGCAGGCCACGGTGATTACGCCTACCAGCAGTCGTCCTACACAGAGCAGAGCTACGACCGCTCGTTTGAGGAGTCCACGCAGCACTACTACGAGGGGGGTAAGAGCACGAGGGCCGCGCGCTGTGCTCCATGCATCAGGCACGCACAGCAGTTAGGACATCGCACTCTTAGCAGCACGCGTGGCCACTTCTCGTAAGTTTGCCTGAATCACTGACGGGAGCAGATGCGGGCACAGCAGGCGGCAGAGCTCCGTGAAAAAGCTGGAAGTGCCAGGCTGGGCGTCAGGGCCACTTGCCTTGTGGGTGTTTGGGAAGCAGAAGGCAGTTCAGCACCCACGTGGGAGGAGAGGGGAGTGACCTGCCCTCTGCCCTGGCCTACCTGCCTGCAGCCGTCCAGGCTTTGCCTCTCAGTGGGCATAGGGCATCCCCAAAGCCCTGCTGAGGCAGACAGAATATTTGTGGGTGGCGTGGCTGCACCGAGGGGGCCTGGCATTTCTGCAGACTGACACTGGCCTGGTGATGCACATCTTTGGCCTGGAGACTTCTGCCCCTGTGGGGAGACCCTGGTATCCTTGTGGGGCGGGGGTGAGGCAGCAGGTGCTGGCAAGCTGACTCTCCAAGCCAAAGCCTGATCCGTGGTGCCTGCTGCAGACACTGGGAACCCCCTGCACCTCTCAGGATGTGGATGCCAAGGGGGTGGCATCTGCTCTCTGGGCCCTGGTATGAGCTCAGCTGCCTCGGGCCAGGTTCCCTGGTCTGCGCATGGTGGTGGGGAGATGCAAAGGCTGCTGAGAGTCTGCATGAGCAGAGACAACACACAGTAAACGTGAGGCAAGTGGCTGGGGAATGCAGTATTTTTGATGACTTTTTGTAATTATTTGTGGTGAACACGTTTCTGCCATTTGTACCACCACATGTATGACTGTCCTGGGGCAGCGTGTACCACCTGAAGGGACCAGCCCATGTCCAGACATACAAGTGACAGTCCTGCTGTGAACGTGTTTAAAAAGCCCGTGTGACGGAGTCACCGTCCGAGAGTTGGGGTGGCTGTCATGTGCAGTGTTGTCAGAGCTGAAACCATCTTGACTCGGCCCCAACTCCCTTTCCTCTCCCCGGCCCCCGGCTCCCACCATTCTGCTCTGCGCCCCCCCCCCCCGAGCCCCCTGGGAGTGGGATCGGTGTGCTTTGATGAGTGTGTTGTCTCAGCATATCGTCCTCAGGGCCCGCCCATTTGTAGCCGGTCTCAGAATGTCCTTCCTTTGAGACTGAATATGCTCACCTGTTCATCTGTCTGTACACCCCTGGCTTGCGTCAGCGTTTTAGCCAATACTTGGACTCACTGGATCCTGCGGTGAGCCTGCTTGCCTTTTGAAGGAACTGTCACCCCGTTTCCACACGGCAGGTTCAGTGTTCTTTTCTCAGGTTCTCTCACGGAGACACCCCTCGGCCTGCGGAGGTGGGGCGTCACCCCTCACACACTTGGCCCCACACAGTCCCCACCTGCAGACCGCAGTCCCTGGCCTGTGGGATGCTTCACTGTTGGCCCCGCCTGTCCCAGAAGTAAGCACAGTAACCTGGCCACCACCCTGGCGGGGTTAGGAACCTGTGGCCGAATTTTAAATGAGAACAGAAACATCCAAGGGGTCTGAAAGTGAAATGACGCACAGGTACTTGACACTCCTCAGTCCCAAGTGTTAGCTTGTCTCTACGCCGCTGTGACACAGGCACCCCAGCCTTCTTGTTGGTTCCTACCAGAGCGGGCTGTGGCTGTGATCCCGCTGCAGAGATGGGAGGACAAAGCAGGCCTCTTCGCAGCCCTCCCGAGCTCGCCGTCTCAGCAGGCACAGCCTTGCTGCAGTGAGACTTAGGCTAAACTGCAGTTTTCGCTACTGAAAACAGTCACTGGGCCTGGCATCCCAACACCCACCCAGCCCAGCCGGCTCCTTGCAGGCCCCTTCTGGTCAGCAGGAGGAGCTGCCGTGGAACTGGCCAGGTGTGCAGCACTGGCCCGCTCTAGATGGCCACCAAGCTTGTTCAGGTGATTTCTTAAATAACTGTATCTATGGGCTGGGGATTTAGCTCAGCAGTGTAAGCGCCTGCCTGGCAAGTGCAAGGTCATGAGTTTGATCCCCAGTACCACAAAAAACAAACAAACACACAGCAACAACAACAACAAAACTGAACTGTATCTGTAAAGTTTTTGCTTTTAAAAGCTAACAAGTCCCAGCCTCTGGGAAGAAATGGACCACCTCAGGTGTCTGCTCATCAGACTATTGCACTGTGTATACACCAGACGTGTACATCATTTTCCTCGGTTATGCCTCAGTAAAGCCAGGGGAAAAGTAAAAATAACTAACAAGTGTTTAAGAGAGAAAGAAACCACCAGGGCTGGTTGCACAGAGCCTCTTCAGCTTATTTATGTAACAGCACAAAGCCCAGGTCAGCAAACTGGACAGGTCTCCCTTTCTGCCCTGGAAAGCGTCAGAGCTTGGCCTCTGCACACGTGGCGTCCCGAACAGCAGCTGCCAAGGCCAGTTCTGCTCCTGGTGACCTGCGATGCGCTGCTCAGCCTTTCAGCGTCTGAAGTGCGTATTTTTGTGCTGGCGTTTTCAGTTGCGTGTTCTCGCCTTCCATAATTGATGAGTCTGCTAAAAAATTCAGCAACCCTCTGACAAGTGGCAGATGGCTCAGTTTCCTTCTGGAAGTATTTTGTCCTGTCGTTTTGTTAATTAGACCCCAGCACAGGGAACCCGTGTGCATATGGAACACAGGCCCGATGCCTGGTGTGCACCACGAGGTCCTCTGCTGAGTGAGAGGGCTGGGAATGCCGTGTTTCGAGGAGACTGAGGGGCCGGCTCATCTGTCTGCAGTGCCGTGCAGAGGGCTGAGCGGAGGCTGAGGGGCGAGACCACAGTGGATCCAGCAGCCAGTGGGACACTGGCGCTGGGTTGTGTGGCTTGTGGGCCATGGCATCTGTCAAGAGCCTGGGGAGTCCTATAGCATGAGAGGGTGCTGATCCCAGAGGACCACTGGCAGGAAGGGCCCAGGCTGGGGCTGGGTGAGCCAGGCAGGAGTACAGGGCACTGGCCAGGTGTGCTGGCCACTCTCGTAAGTCACAGCACAGAAGCAGGAGGTCCACGTCTGATGGCAGCAAGCTTATGGCCCTGGACAGACCTGAGCCCTTGCTGAGGTGGCCACAGGACAGGCGCTGCCGATCCCAGTGTGGAGCAGGGTGACTAGATATGCATTCCGTGTAAAATGGAGAAAGTCAGCTGGGTTCATGGGTGCCCACACACGTGGCACTGCACACCCAAGAGAAAATACCCAAGAGATCAAGTCAGACAGATAGTTGGGCAGGGGTCAGGACTGGACAGGGCAGGGCAGCGATGGCCCGGCCTCTTTGTTTCTTTAGGGTGTGTGTTTGTTTTTACGCCTGTGAATTATGGGATATATTGGCCTGTTCAGGAGTCATGGTTAAAAGTACTCACCATGAAGCTGGGCTGGGCGGTACACGCCCCACGGCCCCAGCATGTGGGACGCTGAAGGAGGAGGAGTACAGGTTTGTGCCCAGCCTGGGCCACTTAGTGATTTAGAGCCCTTGTCCTAAACTCGAGAGAAAGGGAGGGGGAGGGAAGGTAGAGAGAGACAGACAGCAGACGGTGAGGCTCCGTGCAAAGGCTCGGAGTTCAAGCCTCAATACTCCAAGAAAAAAAAGTGTTAAGTGTTACTGGGTGCAGCTGAGGCTGGAAGGATCTGATTCCTGGCTGTTGTGCCCATCATGCTCCTGGGGACTTCAGTCACCAGACAGCTTCTGACTTCTTGCTCAGTGTCACCTCATTCATCCGCTGGTTGCTGGAGCTGGTGGAGCAGGTGAGAAAGGAGCGTAAGTTAGGGAGTCGAGGTCATGTCTTAGATGGGGGCAGAGGGAAAGAGTCAGTGTTCCCAGCCGGGGGAGGAATTCAGCCAGAATGAGTGTGCGGGTCAGCCTCGCTATCCCTGAAACACAGGTTGGGTCCCCGGCAGGCTGTTCGCCTTCCCACGTGAACTGTCTCGGCGATGCCCTGGTTTTTGTCGTGCATTTCTGGGACCCAGCTTAGGGCAGGAAAGTTCTTTGCAGAACAGTGAAGAAGGAAAGTGGGCTCTCAGGAGTCCAGTGCCATCCCCCGGCCTCCCGAGGCCTCTGGGTTCCTACCGCTGGGCACATTTGGGAACACAACCAGAAAAGTGCTGTGAGTGTCCCACCCCAGCCACGTGCCTTTCCGGCCCGGCATGGGTCCCTGCAGATGTGGACCCAACAGCGTGCAATCTGCAGTTTGAAAGCACAAGGGCCGGCTTGGGAGGCGGGGTGGGAAGAGACTTGGGGTGACTGTCTAAAGACGCCTCGGAATTTCCCAGATGTTGACCTCTGTTCTGACCCTGAGTGGGTTCCCGTGGGCATTCCAGGAGGTCCAGAGGCAGATGTCAGAATAACCAGTGCCCCTTGGAAAGCTTGGTGGTTATATGGCTTTCTTAAATTAACATTTTCCAGCGGGCACGATGGAGCACAAGAGCGGGTGTGTTAAGGGAGATCACGGCAGGGCACCTTTTCCTGTAACAAAGCTGTTTTAAGTAACGAGCGTTCCCGGTGTCTTCCCACCAGAACGTGTGTGTACGCGTCAGCTCTTCACAGCCAGTCTGCCTCACTGTGTGCCCGTGGGCTCACAGGCCTTTAACTGAGCATCTTCCCATAACGGGAATTCGTTCCCCCGAGGTCGGGGAACCAGCAGGGCTGCTCCCGGCCGTGGGCTGAGAGGGAGACTGTGTCTAAGCCTCTCCAGCCTTTGGGGTCACTGTGGTCCTTGGCTTGGAATGGCAGCTGTCCTGTCCACCCCCGCCAGGGCCTCTGTGTCCACGCTGCCCTCTTCAGGTGACCTTGGATGACCATATGTGGTCACACCTGTGGGGACCCTGTTTCCGTGTCAGGTCACAGTGCCCTTCTGGGTACTCAGTAATACGCTTAGCCTTAATTGCATTAATCGCTTCATTTGTATTTTTGTAAAATCATGAGAAAATGTACCATTTTGCGTTATGAAGAAGAAAACCTGCTGCCCCTCTGAGGCAGCAGGCGTGGCCCAGGGATGCCGGTACTACTGGTCCTGGTGTTGGCAGCAGGCCACCTTCACTGGTCAGCTGGTGAGCTGTGTTCCCTCTTTCCACAGGGAACCCCCAGTACAGCCAGCAGCAGGCTGGGTACCAGCAGGGTGCGGCCCAGCAGCAGACGTACCCCCAGCAGCAGTACCCCAGCCAGCAGAGCTACCCTGGGCAGCAGCAGGGCTACGGTAAGAGAAGGGGCATGTTCCCACGGGGCTCTCGGGGTCCCCTGCCTGCCACACTGTGGGCTGTGCAAGTTGTGCACTCCCGCGCAGGTGGGGGTTAGAAAATGTCTTATTTGGGACAAGCAAGGTTCAGGTTTCCGGAACAGTTGCCAGAATAACGCAGAGAGTTGTGTACTTAGCACCCCATTCCCCCATGAGGAACCTTGCATGTTCCTGGGGTTCAGTTGTCTCAGCTAAGACACCGGCATGACTGATTGCTGAGACCAAATTCCATGTTTCACTCTGGCCTCAAGTTCTCCCTTGGGTCCTTTTCTGTCCCTGACCCAACCCGGGGTACGTCTGTCTCCTTGGGCTTCCCTTGCCTGAGTGTCTCCAGTCACGTGACCTTGACGGTGGGAGTGGGGGTCAGGCACTCCGTAGCGTGCCCTTCAGTGGGTTTGCCTGGTGTGTTTCTCCACCTGGGGCCCGGTCCCAGGTTCAGAGAGAAGAGTGGGGGGCTTCCCAACCCAGGGCCTTGCTCCCCTGGCCAGGTGCCCCGCCCTCTCGGGGTGCAGTGTAGCTGTGTTCCTTGGACTTCTGTGAGGAGACTGTTTTCTCTCCCCCTACTGGCTCACTCAGCCACTTGTTTGTTGTGGTATGTATTTACAGATAATTAATTTTACATGTGGGATTGTAATTTGTTAAGCTAAATTGCGCCCATGTTGGCCCTGGGAGCTCATCTCTTCAAATTGGCACCTGCGTCCCTTTGGTTTTTCTGTTGTGTTTTAGTCCTTGTGTATTTTCTGGCCAGAGTATTTTCCTGCCCCAGCCCTAGGAGCAGCTCTTCTTTCTATTGGAAACAGCAGTGGGCTCTGGGGTCAGGAATCTTCTACACCTGATTTTGTGTCCCCGTCGCTTGAGCCACCCGCAGGCAGCTCAGCCAGGAGCAGCTTCGCAGGTGCTCCCCTGTCAGCTCCCACCCACCCTGCAGGGGTCCCTGCTGCGCCCCAGCCGGTGAGCCTGCCGCAGGCACACGGAGCCTTGGAGTGAGCAGAAGCAGGGAGAGGGGCCACTGCCCCCGCCTCAGTAAGAGCAGAGGCAGAAATGCAGCTCACCAGAAGATGAGAAGAGAAAGCCCAGCCTCGCTGGGACCAGGTTCACCAGAGTCCTGTGCTCCTGTGCACCCCTCTTCCTGGGCTTGTCCACTGACAGGGCCGCGGCCTCACCCCTTGGCTGCAGGAGGCTCCCTGTGCTCTGGAACCCAAGGCCTGTATGCGTGTCCCACCACAGCCACGCAGGGCTGCTTCAGTGCACAGTGCACGGCTGACTGAGAGCACACCCTGGGAGGCTGAGGCAGGAGGCTCAAGGGTGCCAGGCCAGCCTCAGCTATCGATCGAGACTCAGTCTCAGCACACAGTGAAAGCCAGGTGTGATGGCACACGCCTGTAACCGTGTCCTCAGAACCCTGAGGCGCTGGTTGCCGGGGCCAGGGCCAGCCTGAACCACACAGCAAGACACTCAAAGCACAGTGAAGAGCTCCTGCCCCGTAGGTGAGCATGAGCAGGTGAGGAGCTTGTCGCAGGGACCCAGCAGGTCCTCAGCACCCATGCAGGCGAGATGGGATGTCTTAATGAGTGGTTGGTGCTGGTGGTCAAACCCAGGCCTCCCTGCGCTGGGCACACGTCCTACCCTGAGCCACACACACAGCTCCTAAAAGTGTTCCGAGACGGGCTTTCGCCATGTAGTCCTGCAGCTCTCAGTCCTCCTGCCTCAGCCTTCCAGGTGGGCACTGCCACACCCAGCTGGAACGCCTTTTTTTTTTTTTTTTTTTTTTTTTTTGGTACCAGAGAGCGAACTCAAGACCTCACACTTGCCAGGCAGGCGTTCATGCTGCTGAGCTAAATCCTCGGCCCTGAAACATCTGTTTCTATAGAAAATAAACAGGTGCCCACTGGCCAGGGGGTCTCCTGACTAGAGCTTGCTTCCTCTTCTGGTAAACCCAAGGTCCAGGGGCTCATCCTTTATGGCCACTTCGACCCTGAGCAAGGAGGCTGGGCCTTAGCCCGACCTTCATAGCGCCTGAGAATTGTGTTTGAAAAGTGAGGAGCTGGGGCAGCCAAACCAGCGGGAAGAGCTCTGGGGCAGGTTCCCTGCGTGGGGAGGAGGGAGCCGGAGGGAGCCGCAGTTAGGCTGCTGGGCCTCACACTGGGGCTACCACCTGGGTGAGGCTTAGGGAGGGAGCCTCGACTTGTGCGCGGCCTGGGTTCCAGCCCTGGTGCTGGAAAGAACCACGATACACTGACTTGGGCCTTGCTGGGCCTTTTTTTCTTTTTTGAACCAGGGAGCGAATTCACACCCTCCACCAGGCAAGCCCTGTGACAAAAGCTAAATCCCGGCCCGTGCTAGTTCTTTCCAACCCCTTCAGTTTAGTTTCCACTAAAGCTGTTCCCTTCCTCCCTGGGGTTTTCCTCTGTTCTGGGGGATTCCAAGGCACGGGTGACAGAATCCACTGTGACTGATACAGGTTGCTTCCAGAACAGCCACCACCTGCTTCTAGGGGGCCGCAGGCCTAGGTGTGATAGGGAGAGGCCTCAGTCCCCACGGCGTGGGGAGGCATGGGACTGTCCTGCCGTGTGGACAGGTGTCATGGTGGTGCCCTCGCGGCCCGGCTCGGGATGTTTCCACAGGGCCTGCCCAGGGAGCCCCCTCGCAGTACTCCAGCTACCAGCAAGGACAAGGCCAGCAGTACGGAAGCTACAGAACCTCACAGACGGGACCCTCGGCCCAGCAGCAGCGCCCCTACGGCTATGAGCAGGCAAGCTTTCTGCATGTTTCCAGACGTGCCCGTCCACTGTGTCTGTCGAGACATAATGAAGATTTCTCGTATGGTCACAAGGACCAATGGAATGGAACTAATTGGCTTCCAGGGCTCCTTCCAGAATGTTAATCTCTGAGCCTGTAAGGTTTTTTAAAATTACCTCTGTATATATATCTCACCTCAGGCAGGTGGCTTTTTACACCCCAGACGTAATGCTAGGTTCACATGTATAATTCTCTGCATGAGTCATTCCATAAATATTTACTGTGTGCGTGGCACACCGGGTATCTGCTGGGCTGTGGGGCGTGGGCTGTGGTAGTGACATGGCCCCGAGCTATTAGGGCTGACATCTCGGTGAGGAGGTGGTGGCTTACCTGATGGGGCCAGATTCTCTTCTGGGGACTGAGCATCGGGCATGGACCCTGAGGTCTCAGAAGGGAAGCAGGACAGCGAGTGCTGACGTGCTGAGTGTTCAGGAAGAAGCTGGAGCAAGGGCTGAGATGATGGGGCGGGGGGATGGCGCCTGTCTGCCACACTGGCAGTGCAGCAGTGTCCTGAAGGAACCCACAGAGGACAGTCCTTGGTGGACAGAGAGTTCAGTCTCTTGTGTCAGTGAGAAGCAGAGCAGGCAAGCAGTGGGAGGTGACAGGGACGGGTAGGAGGGCACAGGGCTTCAGGGTCTCTCCCAAAGTTGTACTCTCCTCTGAAAGGGCCAGGGCCCCCCGGGCACACTTGGGGCCTGGAGCCCTGAGCAGGTGAGAATGAGCCACGCTCAGGAAGGGGGCTGCCAAGGTCCTGAGACAGGAGAGCAGGAGGAGGTGGGTGACGGCTTGGCTGTGAGCAGTGAGCTTCTCCTGGGTGTTGACGGGAAGTCTCCGCTAGAGTGTCTCAGCATGAGGTGGCTGTCCAGGGTCACTGTGCCAGGTGGAAGGCACTGAGGAGGCTCAGCACTAACGACAGGTCAGGGCGCTGTGTTGAACATGGCCGTTTGCCTGGGTAGCTGAGTACTCCGTGTTTCTCAGCCTGCTCCTGTGGGGGAAGGAGGAGCCCAAGAGAAGGCTGCCTGGGTCTGGGCAGGGCAGTGAGAGGAGCAGGCCTGTTTGGCATGGAGGAAAACAGCTCAGCAGTGCCCCTCATGAGCATGCTGGCTGCAGGGCTGCGCTGCCCAGCGTGTGGACAGGTCACAGTGGGCCTAGGGTTGGCACTGGGAGCATCACCTGCCCAGGATCAGGGTGCAGAACACAGGAGGGCACAGTCTGCAGCTGACCCAACACTGGAAGTACCAACACAGTTTTAACAAGGTATGAGGCCTCCATCACAGGGTGCAGATAAGAGGCCCTCAGGGTTTATGAAATGACACGTGAAGTTCCTGGCTGAATGACAGAACCAGAGGACATGCAAGTGTATGCCTGCCTCTAAAAGGGAGACCAAAACTCCAGAATAGGAACCTCACGCAGTCTTGAGGGGTTTAAGTGTGGCTGAGACCATGGGTCTCTGCCTGGCACTCATGGGCCTCTCAGACCTGCCCCTGCCCCTGCCCAGCTGGGTGAACTAGAAGAGACCTTCTGGAACCTCCAGCTGCCCAAACAACAGGCAGTGCCAGTGCTTGAGCATGGTCAGCCCAGCCCAGTGCTTCTCACGTGGGGCAGTGCTGCCCCTAGGGGACACTGGCAGCGTCCAGAGATGTGTCCGTGTGTCAGAGGTGGGTGGGTGCTGCTAGCACCTGCACTGTGTGTGACAGTCCCACCACAGATGCTTGCCAAACCCCCAGCTCTGCCCACGGATGCCAGCAGCCAGCTCTGAGGGTGAGGATGGCGGGCCACGAGGCACTGTCACACCCATCACAACTGCTGCACATGTGGGCTTCCTGGTCAGACCGATGCCTCTCCCTCCTCCCTGCCCCCTTGCATGGGCTCCCACACTCCTGGCGAATGGAGAAAGGGGCAGTGAGACGGGGGACCGGTCATCTCAGCCTCTGGCGCTGTTCACCCGGCTCCAGTTGTCCACTCAGCCTCCTGTCTTGCAGCCAGGCTGGACGCTGGCTCTGATTTTCTTCTTCAGATTCCGTATTGACTAGTCCTGTTACCCTGCTCACCCCGCGCCCCTGCTTCCTACTTGGACATGCTGGGAGGCCTGGACTGGCCCTGCCGCCCATCAGTCACCCATGAGCGTTCACACTTGGGGTCTGCCTGGGCAGCCTGCCTTCCTGGCAGGCCATGCAGCAGGCTGTGACAAGGCATCTGTCGAGGCCCAGTCTGCAGGAACCCAGTGCATGACTGAGCAATCTAAGTCATCAGCTGCAGGCGTGGTGAGCACTTCTAGAGTGGCGGGCGCACTCTGCCTCACTCTCACCTGCTGGCCGTGCTCCTTCTTCCATCACTTACCCAGGATGTTGGCTGGCAGTGGTGGTCCGTTCTGCCTTGTGTGGACCTTCTGCTCAGGACTACAGAGGTATAATCTATGTCTTAATCTCTTTTAGGGCCAGTATGGAAATTACCAGCAGTGATGGACAAGCGTTCCCAGTGGAGCCTTTGTGTCCCGTGTCCGCCCGGGGATAGATGGCCGTGGCAGTCCAGAGGAGTTGTGCCGTGTCGGTTACCCTTTGCCCTTTGCCACGCCTGCATGTGAAGCGTGCTCATTTCCTGCTGGGTATGATGTTGAGCCTGCACCACTGGCGCGAGACCGCGCTGTGGTGGCGTGACATATTTGGTGCTGTACATAGTATTATATGTCGATACAATGGAGAGGTGGCCCCTTTTTGTCCCCCTCCCCCATCTCGATGTCCTAGCTAGCTTTGGGGGGTCACGTTATCAGTGTTCCGTGTCCAGAAATGGGACGTATCTAAAGGACTCCATAATCCATGTGTTCCCATCAACAGACCTGGGTCTTCCCTCTCCTCATGCCAGTGTCACACACCGTGGTTGTAAGTGTTTGTGTAACTAGCGACACCACCACTGCTTGTAGCCCGGGGTGGCCATGTGTGCCGGGCCTCGAGGGCACTGGAACACAGCCTGTGCTGTGGGCAGTGCTTGCTGTGTGGCGATGAGGATGCACATGCTTCGCCTGGAGAGGCTCGGAGCATCGTGTCCAGAATTTGGCCATTGCTCGTGTGCTTGCTAACTCTGTCTATCCAAAAGGGTGTCTGTCTCTGTTAGCAAATGAAGACGGGTCAGTGATGGGTTCCAAGTAAACAGGCCTACATGAGGGCAGTGTGCGATTAACCCAGTGGTGGCGATCGGGACGCACGTGCTGCTGCAGGCTGTGTGTATCATTGAAAGCTCTGGAATGTTCGCCATCCAGGGGACGCAGTGTTGCTGAGCACTGACAGCAGCTCTCTGTCAGCGGGGCCGTCGGAAACTGCTTTGGCTTTGGGCTCAGCATATCTGGCATCTTTTTTAGGATTTGACTGTTTGACATGCCCAGTCCTAAACAGAGATAGCTTATAGTATTGACACCAGACTTTCCAAACAGTGAGCAAGTTTTTTATTTCATATTATTTCTTCTAGGACCTACTTGTTCAGATCTCCAAGCAAGTGTTCCTTTTCTTTTAGGGATGTCTGAAATCCACATCCTATTTTTAAAATTACTCCAATAACTTCACTATATTCTTTTGAATGAAAACTAAAGCTTTATACAGTGAAATCTGAATAATTTTCACACCCTTAGATATTCAGTCCCATGTCAGTTCTGTGCAGCACAATTGAGAAATAGATGAAAACTCCCGTATTTCCACTAATAAGCAGCTTGGACACTTGATGAACTTTGAATAATAAAACCATATTTACTATGACTCTTTAAAAAGAAAAACTTCAGATAAATACTGATGTATTTCCAAGAGCTACCAGGAAAATACAAAATATATCCAATGCTTGATACATCAGGGCTACTGAAGATGTTTTTCTTTAAGTGATAATTGTTATGTTTTAAAAATTAATTTTTATCCAGAGTTGAGCGTTTAATATTTTGTGGAATTTTTTTCTCTCTCTTTTTTTTTCTTTTTGGCTTGAATTAATTCTGAGAGATCATGCTGGGAAATACAGAGCAGATACCATTCCCATTTACAAATGAGGAACTGAGGCGTAGATTAAGTTTTGTCTGTGTTATTACCAGTCCTGTCCTCGGATGGTCTCCCCTCTTCTGTGGGCTAGATACCAACAAACAAGGGCATAGCAGTGTTTATTTTGTATGCATAGGGTCTAAAAACCCTTTAACACTAGTAAAGGCTTGAAAAATACATGTGTCCATATTAAATAACAAAAATGAGAATTTTTAATTGTTAAACAACAAATTACCAATTTCATTTAGAGAGCCTTTTTTGAGAATCAATTTTGTTTTCCTTTTTTTTTTTTGTTTTTGTTTTGAGACAGGGTCTCACTGTATAGTTCAGGCTAGCTTCGAACTCATGCAGCACAGGGCTGGCCTTGAATTTGAGGTGATCGTCCTGCTTTAGCCTCCCAAGTGCTGGGACTACAGGCATATACCACCATGCCCGGCTTTTTCCTTAGCTTTTTTTTTTTTATCATCCGTACGGGGGATCAAACTCACAACCGAGCACTTGCATGGCAGGCGCTTATGCCGTTCAACTAAATCCCCAGCCTTCCTTAGTTTTTATAGAGCTGATTTACAAACTTAACTGGGGACTAAAGTTGCCCATTGAAAGCGTTAAACATTTTACGTAACTGTGAAGGTAGTCTTTATTCCTTGCCAATCTGGGAATATGCCTTTTATGTGTGTATATGTTGATTTTTTTAAGTGCTGTATTAATGCTTTTTGAAAGAAAAAAGTCACTTAAAAATCTTGTCACCCCAAAACTTCAATCTGGAATGTCTTACATTAAGAATTTATTGAATGTTGTGTATATATTTTTAAAAGCACTTTGTGAAATAGCTTGTACATTTATTTCCTAATTTATACATGATTTTTGGTGTTAATATATTTAATAACAGAATGATTATTTAATGTTTTTTCCACTTGTATGTAATTTTGTGGGGGAAAGTGATGCCAACAGTTGTTTCTCATTGCCTGTATTATATCTTCTCTTCTGTAACACGAATGTTTGGGAAAAGCTTAGGCTAGACGAGTTGTTCATTCAATTTGGTTGTGTTTCATGTTTTTTCATGATTCTGTCTACTGAAGGCCAGAAACTGCGCAACGTATTTCTGGATTGCCGCTCATTCTTCCTCCTGTTCCTTTCTGACTTCGTCCAGTCTGTCAGATTTGGGAAGTGATGCCCACCATCCTCAGATGTGCTCACATGCTTGAGCCCCCGCGGAGCTGCGGCTCATCAGCCCCGCACTGATTAGGCTTGGTTAGCGCGTGAAAAGTGCATGGGCCCTCGGACCTTGCGCTGGACCGCCTGCATGTTAACATAGTAAGGTGGACAAGAGCTCCGGGACCCTAAAGGACGCCTTGGTACGCTCATACAGTGGGAGTCCAGGCGAGCTGCTCGTTTGGCTGGTGTTTTTATACACAAGCTTGAATGTTGGGCACCCGTTCAAAATTGTAGAAAAAGACTTCGATTTCCATTTAAAAATTTTAAGCCATCCCTTCATTTCCAATTATGTCCAATCCGTTTTGTTGTGAGTACAGTACCTTTAAAAAAAAAAAAAAAGACATTATTGGTTAATTTTTTTTCGCAGTTTGGGGTCTGAATTGTTTATGCTTTTGGTGTACTCTTAATAAACTGGTTCTTCAAAACGCATCCTGCCTGCCCCTCTATGCAGCGTGTTCCGCGGACCAAGTGCACACACGCACGCGCCACGCTGCCGGGTCAGAGGTCAAGGTCTGCCTTCCACACATGCGCGTTGGTTGCACTGGCGGAGTCCGGTGCCTGCCCCGGAAGCAGTCGCATGCCCCGGAAATGGTGATTCGGCGGAGCCGGTGGGTGCGGCGTGGGAAGCGAGGGTTGTCAGCCGGCTTTGGACTGTGGGGAGGCTGAGGGTCGGGGCGGCGGGGAGCCCCTGGGGCAGCAGCAGGCTTGGCTGTCGCCTTCAGCGCGGTGGGGGCTTCGGGGACGCGCTTCGGCCCGGCGCTGGCCACTCGCTTGGCTGCCGCCCGGGTGGGGACGCGGCGGGCGGGGACCGACCTGGCCTGGGGCGGCTGGAACGGGCCGAGCGAGGCGGGCGTGCCGTCACTCTGCCTTTTCCGCGTCTGCGGCCGAGACGCTGCGGACTCGGGGTCGCACGCCTCTTCAGAGCGGGTGAAAGAATCTTGTTTCTGCGCTGTCCCTGGAAAGTGGTTTCTTTCATAAGGGAGAGGACTCAGCGCGTTCATCGCAGTGCGGGGAACTCGTCAAAAGTCGCGGAGCAAGCCAAGCAGTGTGACCACACCCACAGTCCCGCGCGGTGATCACAAGTTCGGGGCCAGCTGGGACAGTTTAGCGAGCTCCTGCTTAAGGGGAGAAACAAAACAAAAGTGGAGATACAGCTCAGTGCAGAGGTCCTGGGGTCAGGCCTCTAGGAGTGGGAAAGGCTGAGGAGCAGAAAACTAGTTCTTCAGAATCCATCTTGCCCTAGTTCCCTGGAGAGTCTTCGTGGATGCCCAAAGCAGTGTGAGGATTCCTGTTGTAAGTTGCGTTGCCAGAGGACACTGTCTTGGGAACGTGACTTAACCTCCCTGAGGCAGTCTCCACTGCTTTGTAGGGGAAATCATAATAGTAATAAGAGTTTAGAAGCAGACAGGACACTGGTGTGGGAGTGGCATGCTGGCGTCTTGGCCCGGAGCAGGCAGCGGACCGGTGGCTTCTACCTCTGGACTCCAAGCCTAGAGGAGAGCAGTCAGTCACTGGAACCAAGACAGGCCTGGAGAGGCTTCTCCTGTTGCAGATGTGACTTTCAGTCTGGGGACTTGACTGAAGCAGGAAGCTCCTGTCCACACTGCCAAAGCGTAAGGTCATAGCAGATCTATAGACTGGAACAGAGTGGAGACAGCCAGGGGTGTTATAAGGAACGCACTTCAAAATCTGTAAATGGTTTAAAGAGGTTCCTGGCAGTAATTTCTGTGGACCAGTAGACACGGAGCCTAACATTTTCCAGAACAACTGTACCAGTGTCCACAGCGGGCCCTGGACAGCAGTGGGTGCCTTTCCTGGCTTTTGTCAGAGCCCTGACATGTAATCGTGAAACAGCACATTCTCTGACGAACTCTGCATCCTGGGTTTTCATCACAGCCTCATTTCTGTTCATGCCGTAACTGGACCGAGCAGATGGCTGCAGTGTGGAGCGTGCAGTGGGTTTCCTCTGTGGAGCGTAGCCAGGTGGTGTCTGAGGGACTGCGATGGTGGAAGTGTTCTCATCCGTGCTGCCCTGCACAGCATCTGCAGGCTGTATGTGGCTTTAACACAAGATGAGGCCTGTGGGACTGAGGAACTGAGTTCTTACATTTTATTTAATGTCAATTAAATTTAATAGCCCCATGTGGCTGGTGATTATTCCACAGTACAAGAACAGCCCTATTAGAAGAACAGAGACCATCCAACAGCAGTAGAGAACAATGTTGCATTTGTTCCCTTGCTAGGAGGGAGCCCTGTTTCTCAGTGGCACCCACACAGATCTCAAGGGTGTAGAGGAGGAAGTTGCTGAGCGAGGCCCAGGTCAGGGTTCAGCCCTCTGGGTGATTTCGCAGTCATTGCCAGGGTTCAGGCATTGGCAGGCCTGTTTTCCAGCATGTACCCCACGGGTATTGCTGTGTGCTGCTGTGAAGGAGCGGGAGGCCCTTTGCTTTTAGCCTCTGATAAAAGGCTCTGATAGCTCTGTGCCCTTCCACCTGGCTTTGCCTCTGTTCTCATTGGTAAAGTAGGTACTTTCTCACAGTTTTTATAAGGACTTAAATGAGTTTATCCCTGAAAAACACTTAAAACAGTACTTTGGAAGTAAGGAGGCAGAGGACTTGAATGTTTACTGTTAACTTTATTTCTAGGTGCCTTTTGATTTGGTATTCCTATACATGGATTTGGTTTCGTTTTTGGGGCGGTGGGTACCGGGAATCGAATTCAGGGCCTTGTGCTTGCCAGACAGGTCCTGTGTCCCTCAGCTATATCCCTGGCCCTGGTTTCTGACTTTTCATTTCTGATTGTTTGTTGCTAGGATGTAACAGTACAATTGACTTCTACACTTTTTACTTTGTTGCCTGCAGCCTTGCCCAGTGTATTCTAATTGTTGCGTTAGGTTTCCCTGGGGTTTTCTGTGGGACAGGGACAGTGTTATTCCTCCACTTTCCCTTCATTACTGCATGTCTAAAGGAGCCAGATGGCCTACAGGTTCGGACTGGGCCTCCAGCCTTCTCAAGTGCAGGGATTACACCAGTCTTCTGCAGTACCTGTTAGCTGGAGGCCTCAGACAGGCTCTTTCCCGGTGTCGGGGTGGAGAGGGTCCTCGTCCTAGCATGCTGGTGTGCTCTTTTCCTGGTCCTGCATGGGTGTGGAGGTGGCCACAGGGTCAGTTAGTACTGGCTGCTGAAGTAGCCGGGCATCCTGGGTAGCCAGTATCCTGGGATGTCCTCGGGGTTGGTGTCTGATCTGTCTGTACTTCTGGGTTTGGTTGAGTACTGTTGGTCAGAGGGTTTTTGGTGGGTTTTTTTTTTTTTTTTTTTTTTTTTTTTTTTTTTTTTTTGGTACTGGGGATCAAACTCAGGACTGCACACTTGCCAGGCAGGTGCTTACGCAGAGCTAAATCCCTGGCCCTGTCAGAGGATTTTGATGTCTATAGCGATGAGGAATACTGGCCTGTTTGTTGTTGTAAAATCAAGTTTTATGGTGGAGTTATGGTGGCCTTAAAAGTTGAGTTCAATGGTGTTTTTTGTCTTTTCCTAAAAAGCCTAAGATTGCCTCTTTTTTTTTTTTTTTTTTTTTTTTAATATTTGGTGGAATTTACCAAGACAACATTCTGAATCTAGAATCTGCTTTTGACAATATTCTTTTCTAGCAAATCCAGTTTTTTTTAGTGGATATGGTTTTGGTGTATTCCTTTAGGGCTTGTCTGTTGTTGTTTTGGTCCTGGGGATCGAACTCATGACCTCAAGCTTGCCAGGTAAGCGCTCGAGCCACTGAGCTAAATCCCTGGCCCCTTGTTTTTGATTTTTTGAGACAGGATCTCTCTGTGTTGTTCAGGTTGTCCTTGAACGCACTGCCCAGGCTGGTCTTAAACTATGGCAATCCTACTGCCTCAGCCTCCCAAGTGCTGTGATCCCAGGGTGGGCCATCATGCTGGAAGTTGGTCTCTTCCTGGGTTTGTTTGGTAAAATGCATCTTAGTTGTGTGCCCATTTGCTGTAAATCATTGAGTTTGTCCCAAATTGTAAACAAAGAGCAAAATAAGTGATAGACAGTAGGAAGTAGGACAGTAGACCTTTCTCAGTGGGAAGGAGACCTAAAGATGGAGAGGGGAAGGGAAAGGCGGGAGGGGCAGGGGAGAGCAGGAAGCTCCACACAGCCAGTGTAACCTTGCACACTACAAACACTTACTAATAAAAATTTTTAAACATTTCTAAGTTTGTGAGAGCACAGCATAAGAAAATGGGAATAGCTTTGCCACTTTTTCAGTAACTCTAAAGCCAACTGCAGATTGGAAGGTTTAGGTTTTAGAATATTTTTGCAGCCTCTAACAGGGAACAGCAGAGGAGAGACCTGTGTGAAGGCCTGGGGTGAGGCCTGATGACGAGGGCAAATGAAGAGAGGGAAGAGGTGGAGGCCTGGGTGCTGGGCGTGGGAGACAGAGCTGCAGAGAGCGGAGGAGACCGGGAGAAATGTCCTGCGCTGAACTGGACACGCTGGCTTTTGAGCGGCGGCGGCGTATGTGAATGCAGATCGTGTCAGCCTGACTGTAGGAGTAAATGCGTGTGTGTATGCGTGTGGCAGTGTGGACATGTGTGTGCTCCCCAGCTCTGTCCAGCGGATCTGGGAACAGGAGCTCCTCAGTAGCAACGAGCAGACCCAGCGTTAGAGTTAGATTCCAGATGCTGTCTCTGGTAAAGTGAGCCCGGCCCCAGCGGGGGCAGCAGGTTTCAGGATGGGGCAGAGACAGGACAGATAGTCCTGGGCATTTGTGCAGGAGCAGGAAGGTGCTCAGAGTGGTGGCACGTGTCCAAGGACAGGAAGCCTCATGATGGTCCCTACTGGCCAAACTAGAAACAGTTTGACCCTTAAAACAAATGACAGTACCAGTGTAGTTGTTTGCTAAACTAGGAGACACGACTTATGTATTTTATTACATAAAAATAAGTCAGTTCCCACACAGATTCATACTGCTCCCCACCAGGTGCTGATTGCTCTGGCTGTGCTTGGGTGCACAGCAGGGACAGGCCCGCCTGCTGGAGGGGCAGGGAGGTAGCCAGAACAGGGCGCCCCCCAGACAGCTGCCCCCGTAGCCCTCAGATGTCAGGGAGTGTCAAGGAGGAGACAAAGGGGCCTCCCACTGAGGACGTTCCGGCATGCTGGCTGGAACAAGGCCAGTCTGGACTCTGCGCCGGGCCTTCTCTTTCGGGCCCCTCATCCTGGAGGACAGGACTCGGCCCGGGGCAGCGGAGTCGGGTGCGCTCTTCCTGTGCCATCCTCGTGCCCAGAGTAGCACTGTTGGGTGCCATGCTAAGGAACAGCAGGTGTGAGGACAGGGTTCCCTCTCAGGGCCAAGGGTGTCATGGTGGGTGGCACCCTGCAGGGGCTCCTAGGAGGACAGACTGTGTCCTCTCCTGGTGTGCTTACCCGTGCTGGCTCTGTAGCAACTTTCTAAATGATGCATAAACATTCCCGTCTCCTGCTGTACCTACATCTCGTTCTGCACCATGGGGAGCACTGCATGGTTTTCCTGTGCAGAGTTCCCAGGTTGGGGACGGTCCTCTCCTGGCAGGTGGGGTCAGCGTCTTCCACACCTCACCAGAAGATGCATGCTCCTACGAGCAGCCTGACCCTGGGCTGGCACTGCTGTTGCTGCTGCCACTACACATGGAGGTGTCCCCAGTTCAAGTTCCTTCTGAAAGTGGCCCATTGACTGCAGCCCCACAAATTAAGTGCTCAGTCCTGGAAAACCATCTTCAGCTCAGAGGCAGCAGCAGGGGGCGGGTCCCGGGGCTCAGGGCCCCACAATCTGGTGGACACACCTGGAGTGCCATAAAGCACACCACAAACGCTGCCGGGAGCAACCAGGTGGGGGTGCTGCGGTGAGGGCCGGGGTCTGGGCACCTCTGTATCCAGGGAGTGGAGGTGAGGCTCACCCCCCTGGCTGAAGGGCTTCACAGAGGCCTCCTCACATGTGGGCTCGGTCTCCAGCCTCATCTCCTGCTCACAACCAAGTGTTGAAAATTGCTGGTGACCGGCCCCAGCCGAAAGCTGTGAAGGGACCACCATGAGTCACTGTGTCAGAGCAAGGGAAATTCCAAGGGCCCTGGTGGCTGCAGGGCAGACACTGTCACTCCCCTCTCAGAGAGTTACAAGGGTTGTGAGCTCCATGTAGGAGTGGGGACAGAGACCCGGTGGACACTGCTGGTCACCTCTCAGGATGACCGCCCACCACCACTGCTGTGCGTCCAGCTTGCCTGCACCCAGCTCTGCACCAGCAGACTGAGGCAGCAGGAGCGAGACCCTCCTGGGTCACCCGATGACCAGCCGAGGAGGGCTTTGTTTCCATGGTTAGCATTTTCATACTGCAGTTTACACAGTGTGGGCTGCACAAGAAAGCACAGTCACATCTGAACAGATGGGCCTTCGCACTAGAACTTTTGACTTGAGACTCACATTGCCTTTCATATTTTCAGTGAGCAGATTCTCGATATTCCCCCGGAGGTGTGTCTAGTGTTCAATGCATGTGCACAGAACCTGCCCAGCATACACTGTAATCCCAGCGCTCAGGAGTCTGAGGCCAGCTGGGTTACTGAGTTCAGGGCCAGCCTGACTACAAAGCAAGGCCCTGTCTCAAAAAATAAACAGAAAAGTAGGTTTTGCCCCAAGTCCCAATACACTGATGGGTGCCAGGGGGAGCATGAGCCTCAGCGGGGGGGGACAGCGGGAATCTCCGGATGTGCTGGCCTGGAACACACCCAGACGCCTGTCTTCAGCTTCCTTTGGACGCTCAGGGTTAGCCCAGGTGCCTTACTGTCCTGTCCCGCTTTCCCTAGGGGACATGATACCTGGGAGGCTCTCCTCGGCCAGACCCTGGACCATGTTGGAGGGAATAATGCGGGGTGCTGTGCGCACACCAGCCGGCCTCAGGCTCAGCAGGCTCCTCCCACAGCAAGGCCACCCCAGGCCACTCTCCATGGGCTGTGTGGACTGCACCAAGCATCGAGAGCCCCCTGGAAAGAAGCCCCTGTCTGAGAAGAAGCTGGTGAGCTCCCTTGGGAGGCGGCTGCATGCCTTGTGGGGCCTTGGGTTGATCTGCGCTTTGGTTCTTTGCTCAAGGGACACAGGGAGATTCTTTCAGGGGACCTTCCTGCAGTGGCCAGCAGCAGCCAGGGTGGTGGAGTGCTCCCGGTCAGGCTGCTCGCTGGTCATTCATCCTCGCAGAACAGCACTTTACTCACCAGGTGTCAGGGCATGGTTCCTCACCCAGGACCTCTGGGTGGGCGGAGTAGGCCCCTGAGGTTGCAGCCTACAAGTTTCCTTGTTCTGTTCACCAGAACCTTCTATTTAAAACACGAATGGTCATTGACTAAATTCAAGAAAATACGCATTTATCATGCACTTTTAATTTCCTCCTAAGTGGAGGGCCCAGGTGAGCGTTGCGCAAGCCAACAGAAACACTTGCTAGTGGCCGAGACCTCGTAGCGCCGCCTCCCCTGGAGCACAGCACCTGGGCTTTATTTCCATGTGGTGCTTTCTGAGTGTGCCTTTTCCTATCAGGTGGATCTGGGTTTGGTGGCATGGAATGAAATCACACACTGAACTTTTGATGTGGTAGTTTGTGGTTTTCCCATGTGGTGGTGCCAAAGAATCCTAAAATATTTTTGTATTTTCTTTTGAAAACTGTTACGACCATTGGATGGAAACCCATATCTCCCTCCTCCAGAGAAGGGCTGTGGGGGCTGTCAGGCACTGTCGGGCAGGGGGAGCTTGTCCACACACACAGCTGAGCAGCCCCGCACCTGAGCCACGAGCGGTCCTTGTGGACAGCGGTTCGTGTGCGTTGATTATTAACCTAATCAGCTGGTTATTCTGATTCTTTAGCTTAGGGGCCTCAGAGGGACACTGTGTGTCCCCGAGTGGTGCACAGATAGGCCCACATGTAGGCAGGACACAGGAAGGTTCCTTCTCCCTAGCTAAAAGCCTAGTACTTATCCAAGAAGAACTCTGCCTCTCCTTGTTATGTCCTGCTGAACTAAAATTTTTCATAGCAAAGATTTGTTACAGTAACATGTTTAAGAGAAGCTTTCTTAGAAAGACACTTTGTTCAAAGACAGTTTCTTAGACAAGTCATGTTCTCTTAAGGTTAGAAAGACTAAGTGGTATTTTTAAAATGTAAATAGCTTTAGTAAATTGAGATATAATTCATACACTATGAAGCCTACTCTTTTAAAAGGTACCCTTCTTAAAAAAAAAAAAAAAAAGGTACTCTTCTGCCAGGTGTGGTGAACACCTGTAATTCCAGCACTTAAGAGGCTGAGGCAGGAGAATTGCCACAAATTCAAGGTCGGCCTGGGCTACACAGTGAGTTCAAGGTTAGCCTGAGCTACAATGCAAGGCCCTGTCTCCAAAACCAAGGTACTCTTCCACAGTGATGGTTTGTTTTGTTCTGTTTTTAAACTTCTTTTATTTAGTACATGCTTGCAGTGTGTAATGGTTGGATTTATCGTGGGGAGCTGGTACATGGACGTAATACATCCTAGTTAAAAGCGTGCTTTCTCTTTTGTCCGTCTTTACATCTGCATTGATTCACCTTGGCTTGCAAATTCTTGTGACCTGTGGAACTCATTTTTTTTTTTTTTTTGGTGCTGGTGATCAAACTCACGACATTGATTTTGCTAAGCAGGCACTTACGCTGCTGAGCTAAACCCCCGGCCCCTGGAACTGACTTTTATCTTATCTTTGGATTTTTTTTAGTAATTACCTAGCTTTAAGCAGTTAAGGCATACTGTGGTTCGGGTGGTAGTTAGTCTCCTTGGAGGGTTTAAGGTGTCACTGACATGTGTCTGGTGTTCTCCGTAGAAAAAGCACTTTGTGGACTGTCGGAGAGTGCTTGTCCGTGGAGGAGGCGGAGGCTCCGGCATGAGCTGCTTCCACAGTGAGCCCCGAAAGGAGTTCGGGGGCCCCGATGGCGGGGACGGTGGCAGTGGTGGTCACGTCATCCTGCGAGGTACGTGTCTGGGAGCAGCTGGGGGAGTCCAGGCTTCTTAGCCTGTGACCTTTCGCATTAAAATCTGGGTGTGCAGAGAGTGTTTTTATGCATTGTGTGGAGACAAAGTAAGGTCACGTGGGTGTTTGGAGTTGTTCTGAATCACAGGAGCACCGGTGAGTTTCCCTCCCAGGGCAGCACGATGGTACGGGGTCAAAGGCTAAGCCTATGTCACTGTCTCAGGAAGCGCTGAGGCCGTGTGCAGCACGTGCTTGGCGTAAACATGTGGTTTAGCAGGCCAGCTGCAGAAATGCTCACAGAACAGGAAGGATAGCTCAAGCTCAAGACTTCACACTCGCCCGCAGCGCCAGGCGGACACTTAGGGTGCTGAGCTAAATCCCCGGCCAGGAGAGCTTTTTCTTTTTTTTAGTTGATGATTGCATTATAATTAACTTTCATGTTTTTAAGAGATGGCAGTGTGTTTTTGTGTTTGCTTTTGTTTTTGTCTCTTTTTGAGATGGGGTTTCACAATGCAGTTCAGACTGGCCTTGAACTCACTTTGTAGCCCAGGCTGGTTTGAACTTGCAGATATCCTGTTGCCTCAGCCTCCCGAGTGCTGGGACAGGCGTGCATCATCACACCCAGCCTGGTAAAGTTTTTGAAGGGAAATTCGAGCTCAGTTTTTTGAAATCATGTTGCTAGTCAGTAATCTCTGCTCCCTTTCATTCTGTGAATCCCTTCTGTTGTCTGTTTTTCTGTTTCGGAGGAGAGGTTTTCTTGGGATTGAACCCAGGGCCTTGTACTGAGCTGTATCACTCACCCTTTTGCCTTTTTTTTTTTTAAAGTTTCGAGACAAGGTCTCACTAACTTGCCGAGGCTTCCTACCTCGGCCTCCCAGAGCAATCAGGTTACAGCCGTGCACCACTGCGCTCAGCTTTCTAAGGTTCTTAAACTGGGCAAAGCAATGTTAGCCAGGCACCGGTTCCGTCTTAACACGGAGGAGGATGCAGGTTCTTGCTCTCGCTCTAGTTGACCGGCAAGTCAAGTCCCTGTCGTCAGTGCGGTCCCAGTATCAGGGCTTCAGTGGAGAAGATGGCGGCAGCAAGAACTGCTCCGGCCGAGGTGGCGCTGCCCTCTACATCCGGGTGAGCTGAAGGCCCTGGGTCGGTGAGTGGAAAGCCTCCGTGCCAGTGCTGCCCGATAGGGTATGAGGTGATCGCCTGGACAAAGACATCCACCGGCCACCTCTGGCCTAGGCCTGTGCCCAGGGCCCCCAGGAGGTGTCCCCTCCAGACACTGGCCACGCAGAGTTCTAAGGGCATGTGCCCATCCCCATAGGCCGCTGGGGAGCCCAGGTCATGTCTTGGTGCTTGGTGGCCATGAAGGGAGGACCTGGCAGTCCCTGTCCTGCATTGCCGCTTCTTATGTGGAACACGGCTGTGCCACCATGCTGCCTTGCAGGTCCCAGTGGGCACCTTGGTGAAGGAGGGAGATAAAGTCATTGCAGACCTGAGCTGCCCGGGTGATGAGTACATCGCTGCACATGGTGGCGCCGGAGGAAAAGGCAACCGCTTTTTCCTGGCCAACGACAACCGCGCGCCTGTGACCTGCACCCCTGGAGAGCCGGGTCAGGAGCGCGTTCTCCACCTGGAGCTCAAGACAGTGGCCCACGCAGGGATGGTGGGTTCCGGGGCTGGTTCCTGGCCCCACCACCTTACTGGCCTGGGCTGCGGCTGTGGCCGCAGCAGCAAAGACCTCCGCGGGGTCAGCAGCCTCCTATGCTTGTTTTCCAGGTTGGGTTCCCCAACGCTGGGAAGTCTTCGCTCCTCCGGGTCATCTCCAACGCGAAGCCTGCTGTGGCCTCCTACCCGTTCACCACCCTGAAGCCCCACGTGGGCATCGTGCACTACGCCGACCACCAGCAGCTCGCAGGTGGGCTCAGCCAGCCAAGTGGTGCAGGGAGCCGGTTATGTAACGCCTAAATTTAGCTTCCTGTTTAATTGTTGCATTGTTTTCCCTAATTGAAAGAATTTCAGTGAGTCTGTTCTGTGTCAGAATTAGGATCCCACCGTTGAGAAATGGGAGTTTAACTTTCCAGCCTGAGGAGAGGTTTCCTTCTCATTGCATTTGTTTGCTGTGCTCTGTGGGACTCGGCAGCAGCAGCCACTGTGTAGACAACATGTGATTTTAAAAGCTTTCTCTGTACCATTTTGAGAGAAGAAAACTTTCTTTCCAGCATATAATGTACCCATTAAAAATAGTAAGCCTGCTGGCAAGGTTATTTGTATAGCACTTTATGTTTGCAAAGTACTCTATAATGATTCCTATCAGTAATCAAATTATTAATAGAGTGCAGGAAACCATTTTTCCCTTTTTTGAATCATGTTCCAAGCCAGAGAGACAGGACTGTGCTCAGTATTTCCCACCCGACTGCTGTATCTTCCTGCCTGTCACCCAAACATCAAGGAGCACTTTGCAAACTGGAAGGCAGGGGTTCCTCGGTGTCGGGCGGCCCGCTCCCATGAGGGTACAGGGTAGCTCTGGCTTTGGGTGTCCCTTGAAAGAAAATCTCGGAAGGGGAGGAGTCGGGTCCCAGGGGAGGGCTCCTGGTGCCCACCCAGGCCCGAGGCTGACACTGTGCTTTCCTCTCCTAGTGGCCGACATCCCAGGGATCATCCAGGGCGCCCACCAGAACAGGGGCCTGGGGCTCAGCTTCCTCCGGCACCTGGAGCGCTGCCGTTTCCTCTTGTTCGTGGTGGACCTCGCACTGCCCGAGCCGTGGACTCAGCTTGAGCATTTAAAATACGAACTGGAGAAGTACAAAGAAGGCCTGTCTTCAAGGCCCCATGTGGTCATCGGAAACAAGATCGATCTGCCGCAGGCCAGGGCCCATCTGGCCCCACTGCAGGCCCACCTGGGACAGGAGGTCATAGCCCTGTCGGCGCTGACCGGGGAGAACCTGGAGCAGCTTTTGCTCCACCTGAAAGTTCTGTACGACGCCTACGTGGAGGCCGAGTTGGGGCAGGGCTGCCAGCCGCTCAGGTGGTAGTGGGCACAGCGGCTCTGGCCCCGAGGCAGAGGCCGCATGCCCCCCTCCCCCGCCCCGCTGTAAAACACGGGGCTTTCGATGCCTAGGAGAACGTGCTTGTGAGAGTTCAAGAGCTGGTGCCTCTCCTCCCTGCCCTGTTGGGGTTCTGCCACTGAGGTGCCCCTCCAGCCGAGGACGCCATGGGTGGCGGAACACTGTGTACCTGACACTGGTCTGCGCTCCAGCTCTGCACACCGGCAGCCCCGTTGACTGACTCGCGGAGGTTGACTCATTGTGCTAATTAACACCCGTAATTAGGAGGAGGACCACACTGCTGGCTTCTGTCACTTGTGCTGCTCTGTACATGTACTGCGGGGCGAGCTCTGCAGAGCAGCACAGCCAGCACCCAGCCACCTCCCCTGCACGTTAGCACCATGACCAAGGGGCTCCTCTGCCTGCACCCTGATCCCTCTGCGGTAGAGCCATGGGGTCACCGTGGGGTCTCCATGGGGTCTCTGCCCCGCAAGAGGCATCCTGGTATCGGGGCCAGCCATCCAAGGGGAGTGGGCCGGCCAGCGCCTTCCCTCTCCCTCCCGAACACAGCGCTCTGCTCTGTGGGAGCCCAGTGCCAAGGCAGACTCAGCTTCACGACTGAGTGCACTCAATATCCGACTCCGGCGTGCTCGGCCTCTGGCTCGACTTCAGAATGCACAAGCGAGCTGTGAACTAAAGGTGATGTGAGCCGTGAATGCCAGCATTGTCTCCAGTAGGTAAGCACAGCCCGACAGGGCAGAGTAGGAGAACGGCAGGGGCCATGTCCCCATTAACTTGGGCTGAGCTTCCACGCAGCTCTGCTCCATGGAAACCCTTGCCTGGGGCCAGGTCCTCACCGCGACCTAGCAGGGGCCAAGCCCGGCCACCTTCTCCAGCTCAGCCTGCAGCTCCTGCATGCCTTGTCCAGGCAGGAGACTCCTGCTCCACGGTGAGGCTGGGTCTCTGCCCCCGCACCTCGCCAACTGGACAGCCCGCCCGAGGAGCCCAGCGCCTCTGCCTGAGATGGAGGGACGGAAGAAAGCAGAGAAGGTGCCATCGGTCACTGGCTTATCCAGAAGGGTCCCAGACAGGCGACACCGCAGGCGCGCCCAAGGCAGACATCCTTGCTGCGTGTCGGGGTTTGGCTGCTGCACATAATAAGCCAGCGCCTCGGCTCTCAGGAGCAATTCAGCTTCGATCTAGCATCAAATCTGCAGGCAGAACACGAGGTCCTTTCCCGGAGGCTTTATTTTAATGTCTTATAATTTCAAAGGTCCTTATGTCCTGGAAGCCAGGGATGGGCCTTGCATCTGTTTGCTTTCTCTTTCAGGTCACCATAAAGGGTTTCATAGAGTCAAGCCCACCCTGAGAGCATTAATTATCTGTGGCTTTCATCTTGTGCTGGGCCCTGCGCTCTCTAGGGGTGGGGGAGCCCTTGCCCATCCTCCCTGGGCCTCCAAGACCTTGCCCATGGCTAAGCTTCGGAATAGTGGGCATCTCCCAGGACCCAGCCGTCCTGTACTGGGACTTCGTTGGCGGATGCATCACAGATGGTGCCCAGGCTCCCCACACCTGCGGGTCAGCCAGATCCATGGCTGCTTTCTCCCTGAGGCTCGGTCTCCCCACACAGTTACCTGCTCCTGGCCAGTTTTGTAGTTTTTGGGTCAAGCTGTAACTCAGTAAAGTTGTTTTTATGCTGTGCTGTGGAGGGCCTGTTAGTAGCCTTAGGGTTACCACTTCCAAAACTGTACCCCGCAAAGAAACCTGTCCCTCACCCCAGCTCTAGAGTCCGCTTTCTGACCATTCCAGACTCTTCCTGCTTTATACGTCAGCCTTTTCTGAAGCCATCACTCCAAGTCAGGAGGGGGCCACAAGTGCACGTGTGGGGGCAGAAGCTGCATTCAGGCAGGCAAGGCTCTTGTCTGGTACTCACTGAGCCCAGATAGTGCCAGCATTAGTGCATTCAGATGAGTGGGACTAGAGGACCCCACAGTAGTGTTGCCTTTGTGCACACTGACACACACACACATGCACACAACTCGTACACACCCAGGCTGTTTCCACAAGAGCTAACCCGTTTCTAGAACCCACTGGTTTTGCCAGGTCATGTGGGGACATTGCTGGCAGTCTTACAGCAGCCCTCTAGCACTTCAGTTCAGGGTCCTGTCCAGAGCCTGCGTCTGGTTCTCTGTGCCTCTCAATGTCCCCTGTCTTCCAGTATCTGTCCCCGCCAGCTGGTGCTGTTTCCCAGGTACGCTGCCGGCCCCCTTCCCTTCGTGTCCTTCCAGGTTCAGGCTCACTGCAGAGCTGGCACTGGCTCGGTGCCCTTCAGGGATGCATCCTGGACCTCGGGTCTGGCTTGCCCATTCTAGGTGCCTCCTCCCGGATGTCACAATCACCACCCTCTGGTAGCTCCACATGGGTGTCTGTCATGGGTTGCAGTCTGGCCACTCCCTGACCTTCCTGGGAGCAGATCTTAGGATGGAGGCCTAACCTTCGGGATTCAGAGGCTCCCAAGTGCCCAGTTTCCAGCCCACTGCTTCACCCTTTGGCCTGGAGCTCCCGTCCGCTGGCTCCAGAGGCCAAGTTTGCAGCTCCCACAGGGCCTTGAGGGTGTATGAGCAAGGCCCCCCAACCCCGGGCTCCCAGCCACTGCCAGCGTGACCTCAGCTCTCCTGCCTGTGTGTAGGGTTCCCACCCACGCGTCTGTTCCCTCATCCTTAGCAGACACACGCCATATGGGTGGCTGATTGTCTTGATGGCAAATGCCCGAGGCTCTCTGCTGCTCGTGGGAAGTGGCGTCCACCTCTGGCCTCCCTGACTTCCGAGGCCCCAACTCCCGCTGCTGTGCTGACCCGCAGCATCCAACACATGGCCTAGCCCGGGCTGGCCTTGCAGGTCCCTTGTGGGTCAAAAGTCACTGAGACGTCCTCCCCAGCTGGAGGTTAGGAGGCTGGCACTGGGCTGTGGAGGCACCAGGCTCCCTCTTGGGGCTCTTGGGAAAGTGCCTTCCGGCCTCCACTGGCATCCACTGGCTCCTGGTGCCCTTTGGTTGTGGCCACTTCACTCTGATTCCTGTGCATGCCTCCATGTGACCTCTGTGTCCCTCCATCCTTAAGGATGGCAGTCCTTGGACTCGGGCCCACTGTAGGATGTGGGCCCCACCTGCCCTCCTCCTGGGACAGGAGGCTTCCTCCCAAACAAGGTTGGGTCCTAAGGTTCTGTGCAGTTTAAAGGCTGGGGCCGTCATCTGGCCCAGGACGCCATGCCTTCCAGTGGGTGCCATGCCTCCTTGCTTAAGGGTTCGATGCATCGGGCTGGGCATCTGCAGCCCACCCTTCTCACGCTGGCCACCAGCTCCACCTCGTCCCCCCTCCCCCCAGGGGACCTCCATAGCCAAGCAGCACGGGCCCTCAAGGGACAGCCAAGTGCTCCAGACAATGCCCTCTCCTGCTGCCCTGTGAACTGTTCTCCAGCCACAGAGGGCCTCTTGTTGCTGATTCCTTGACACCCAGTGAAACCTCTAGAGTCAGGACCCAGAACCCCTCACTCTCCCACACACAGAGCCCTGGGGATGGGAGCCTCACTGGTGCTGTGCCCAAGGCCTAGGACAGTGCTAGTACCATGTCGGGGCAGGAAGAGCATGTGCTGAGGAAGCCAGTTTTATTTTTACTTACTTATTTTTTTTGTACCAGAAATTGAACTCAGGACCTCACACTTTTTTTTTTTTTTGTCTTTTTCCTTTTTATCGGTACTGGGGATCAAACTCACCACTGCCTGCTTGCAAGGCAGGTGCTTATGCCGCTGAGCTAAATCCCCAGCCCAGAAGCCTGTTTTCAGCATCCTCCTGCTGTAACTTTATGTTGAGATGTTTGTGGTTTGGGGGTGGGGGTCAGGAACCCCATGTGGGGGCTACTGCCCACAAGTGATGGGTAATTAAGCTCTGCATGGAGCACCCCAAGACGGGAAGGCTGGAACCCGAGCTGGAGGTGAGGAGCTGCGGCTGGGCAAGGGCATTGGGGGTTCCTCGGCAGGGCGCTCCGATCTGCACATGCGGAGTGCAGCCGTGCCGAGCTGGGGTGCACAGGCGCGGCGCACTGCCTCGTGTGCCCGAGGCCCTGGGTTCCATCTGTAGCTCTGCAAAAAGAAAAATGCTAAGGAAACCACAATTCAGTGTTGAGTGGAGGGACAAGTCCCTCTTTTTGAGACAGTTTCCCTACATAGTTCAGGCTAGCCTTGAACTCACTAGGCAGCCCAGGCTGGCCTTGAACTTGCAGCCATTCTCCTGCCTCAGCCTTCCAAGTGCTGGGATCAGAGGTGTACGCCTCCACCCTCAACAAACTCTGAAAGGAAGAGGAAAGTGCTCCCCCTGGGCAGAGGTGACAGGAGCAAAACGGTGGCTGTGGCCTCGTGCCACTGAGCTGTTCACCTAAAAATAGCTTAGTGGAGCTGAGCATGATGGCATGTGCCTAATCCAGGGAGGCTGAGGCAGAAGGGCTCCAAATAAAAGCCCAGCCTGGGCAACTTAGTGAGACTTCATCTCAAAAAAAATTTTTTTTAGGGGCCAGGGATTTAGCTCCTCAGCACCAGTACCTGCCTGGCAAGAGCAAGGTTGTGAGTTCAATCGTTGGTGCCACAAAAAAAAAAAAGAAAAAAAAAATGTTTTTAAAGGGCTGGGGATGTAGTTCAGTGAGAAGGCCCTAGGTTAAATTCCCAATATTGAAAAATGAGTAAATGACAAGTTTTGTCTTGTGTATATTTCACCACCATAAAAACAGTTTAGAGCTAAACACATAGCAGGACCACGTGCACTCCTGGGTCAGGACTGAGTGGGCAGAGCAGAGCTATGCTGGATGCTGCCATCACCTGCAACTCCCCACAGCTCTGCCCTGGGCTCCACTGGCAGAAACCCGGGAGGGCACCCGAGGGCCACAACTGTCCTGGCCCCAGCATGCACGTCCGCAGTCTCTCACGGTGCCCTTGTGCACCATGGAAGGACCAGGCTGCAGTGCCGTGCCCGGGCTCTGTCCCCTGCCTGGCACTGTTTGCTAGGCTGGTGCCATGCCCACCTGGCACCTCTGCCAGTGTTTGTTGAGGCGTCAAGCGTCCCAGGCTGTGTGAACACACGGACGTCCGGGAGTAGCATACATACCTTGGGCAGGAGGCTGGGGGGACATGTCCCTCTCAGCTCTAGGGCTGCAGTTCGATAAGGACTCCCCTGCCCAGACACCGCCACTTTCCCAGTGAGCTGTGACAGTTGTCTGGAGCGGGGCCACTGTTAAATTCACTGGGCTGCTGTCGAGGAAAGCCCAAGAGCCCACGCACAGAGGACCAGGTGGCCTCCTGCACGTGGCCTGGGGCCTCACCTTGTGGGGCAGGGCCTGGACTTCCAGGGCCCTGTTCTGGTTGGCACCTCGGGGAAATCAGCAAAATAGCAGTGGGAGCCCATAGATGTGAGGCTTTCTTCAGAGCCTGAGTCACCCACCTTCCACTGGGTCCCCCAGGGGGCAGGGCCAGTTGTGGCCCGGGAAGCTGCTCAGCCCCGTGGCTGAGCTATTTCCACACTGCGAGGGTTGGCACGGGGCAGGGTGAGCTCTGTCTGCGCTGCAGCCCCCTGTTGGCTCCCTCATCGGTGCCATGGGGACTACAAGAGCACACACTGCAGCAATGTGGGGCGCATGTGTGGTCCTCGCCTGTGGTGCTTTTTTGCACACGCACTTTAGCCACCCCAGCATGGGTGGGACAGGGCTCTCCAGGGTCACAGGGCCTGGGGGTCATCTGAGACATACACCCAAGGCCAGAACAAAGCTTGAGTCCTGAGGGCTGCATCCCTTTTTGGTTGGGCAGGGCCGTGCCCCCAGGGGCAGAAGTGAAGAGTTTTCTATGCTGGCAGCCAGCCAGGAAGCAGGGATTGGGAAAGGAGACACCCACTGCCCAGCTCAGCCTCTGCTGATCCCGACCCCGCCCAGCTGTGGGGCAGCAAGGCTCCCTAGGACACCTCTGCCCAGCAGCTCCCACTGAAAGTCCCTGGGCCCAGGGCCAGGCCAGATCCCTAACCCTAACCTCACCCCTCCATGGGGTGGCCCTGCTGAAGACAGCACGGAGGCCCTGGGTCAGCCTCTGCAGCTGGACACTACTGGCCTTTCCCTGGCCTGGCTGCAGTCCCAGGACTGCAGCTGGCTGCTGGGGTCACGTCATGCACCTGGAACACCTTGGACACTGACTGCTGGGACCACAACCTATCCTCTTAGTCCAGGCGGCCCTGAGCCTGCTGCCGTGAGGGGAGATGGGTATCCCCAGAAAAAGGGGGCCTTCTGAGGCAGGCCCGGCACACTGCGCTTAGGAGAGGAACAAGAAGGTGGCTCCAGGGCGGGGCCGCTGGGAAGTGGTGCCAGAAGGAGGCAGCCCAGCGCAGGCTGTCATTAGCTGTAAGACGTGGAACAACTCCTCAGCCTCTCTGTGCCCGAGTCTCCTCATGTATACAATGAGAATCATAGTGCACACTATCCTGAGGACCAGATGGGGTAAGAAAGGGCCATTTGGGTTTGGCAGTCCCCACTTGTAATCCCAGCACCGTGGACGTTGAGCCAGAGGGTCAAAAGTTAGAGCCCAGCCCGGGCAGTTTAGCAAAGTGAAGGGTATAAAAGAGGGCTGGAGGTGTGGTTCCATGCAGAGGGCCTGGGTTCAATCCCCAGTACCACACATGCACACTCAACACACATAAAAAAAGGACAGAAAAGAAAGAGAGACGGAAGGATGGAGGGAGGGAGAGGGGGACACGGGGGAGGGATGGAGGCTGGACCATGGTGTCCTGACCTCAGCCGCCTTCGGCACTGCAGGCTAAACACCTTCCTCGGGACGAGGTGCCCACCTCCTTCCCAGGCAGGCGGGGAGGGACGCCTCTCAGCCAGGGCACTTCCCCTTCCCTGACCCTGTGTGTCCACAAGAGGAGACTCAGGTGCTTCTGGAGCTTGACCTCTGACCCTTGACCTTGACTTCTGTAGGGTCCGCAGACCCTGATGTCTCCACCCCAGCATGGATCACTGAGGTCCCCCAAAGCCTAGAGAGCGGGAACAAGATGTCCCTCTGTCCTCCCCAGGCCCCAGTGAGGGAGAACTGTTGGAGGGGCCCAGGTGGGGAACCTTGCCAGCCTGCTCAAGGTCTCAGCCTGGAGTCCTCCTGTTCATACAGAACTTCCTGTCCAGCTGCCTCAGGCCTCACGCTCACGCCCACACCCCGGAGAGGGAGGAGAGGCTGTGGAGGAGGAGACGCTCCAGGTCTGGGCAGCCCCACCAGCTTTCTGTCTCCACCCGTGGAGAGCCGGGACCCGAGCCCTAATGACAGGTTAGCAGGTGCGGCTGCTGGGCTGGCGGCAGGCACAAGCACTGCCAACAGTGAAGGACTTGGGCAGTGCGGGAGGGCCACTTCCTGCGTGGGCAGGAGAGCTGGGGCGCTGGGCCTGGCCGTCCCCTCGGCTGGCAAGGCTTGGCCTGTCCTGTGAGGAAGGAGCTGGGGCCCAGCAGCCACTGCCTGGTCCCCGAGACCCACTGGGAGGAAGAGGTGAGGTGCCAGACACCCCCTCAAAGTGCTTGAGCCTCACGGCCAGGCTGCAGACTGGCTGGCCGGGCTGGGGCAAGCTCCAGCCTGGCCTCAGTTTCCCTTCCCAGCACACTTCCTGTGACCAGGACAGCTGGGTTGTGTGACGCCTTTGCCACCCTGCCACGTCCCCGTTGGTTTCCAGGGGATGCACAGTGGGCGCCCCTTGGTGCTGCAGGTTCAGATCCACAGAGCTCCTGGAGACTCTTCTGGGTGCCCTGCTTGGCTCCCCATCCCGGGGACACCCCTCCCTAGCACCATGCACACAGAGACAGGGCCTTGGGCCCTGTGCCCAGGAAGATATGGCCTGCAGAGGGGACCAGCTTGCCCACCCGCACCCCATGGTACCCGGCACACAGTCCGTGCTAAGGAGGATGGAGCGGAGAGAGCTTGGGCCTTGGAGTCAGGCTTGGCATCGGGCGCTGGCTCCTGCCGGCCCCGTGGGTGCGATGTGGGGACAACTCCCGCCTGGCCTGGCTCTCAGCGCAGAATGGAGGGCGTAACTGCCCCTCAGGGTCCCTGAAAGGACACAGGGGCCTAGGCTGTGCCAAGGCCAATGCGGAGTGCCAATAACGGTCAGCAGGAGGCTCACTGCACCTACACACCTGGCAACAAGGTCGGGCAGTGCAGAGGTGGTGGCGCTGGGAGCTCCCTCCCTGCTGCTCAGACCTCTGGCTCCATCCTTCGGCCTTTTGCAGAAGCAGGGGACAGGCCTGCCAGTGGGGAGTCTGGGACTCCACCCTGGGCTGGGAAGGACCCTGACACGGCAGATGTCCAGAACTTGTCCCTGGGAGTCAGCCTCAGAGCCAGTGCCAGGGTAGGCAAAGTGCCCATACATGCAGCCCCGAGGGTCCTGTGAGGGGGACCCAGCGGGGCCCCGTTGCCTGCCCTCGGCCTGCTGTGTCCTGCCTGCTGCTCCAGGTTGGCTCCTCTGTCAGCTCTCCGAGGCTCCAGGACCACAGCTGCGCGGTCTCCCTCCTGCCATTCCCGGTACACAAGCAGGCACACAGTAAACAAGAGCAGAGCTGGGGACCCGGGCAGCAGCTCTGTCTCCTCCAGCGCTGGCTTGCAGGGCCCGCGGGTGGCCCCTCTGTGTGTGTGTTTGCTGCCCACTTGGACCCAATAGGCTCTGTGTCTTTCTTCTCTCCTCCTCTGTCCCCACACTGAAGCTCCAGGAGCAGCAGTTTCCAGAGATTGAAGGCAAAATTGCTTGAAAGCCTGTGCTTTTATCCTCCAATTTGTAGCCATTTAGCAGGGCCAGGCAGAGGGGCAGCCAGGGCTCTGGCTGTGCTGTTGTGTGGAGGCGCCCACTGCTGCAGAGAACCGTTATTGTCCTTTCCCAGACAGCTCTGGCTGCAGGACAGACGGGCACCGGGGGCCAAGCAGGCTGCGCAGGGCAGAAAGCCTGGGGAGGGGGAGGGGCACGGAGCCTCCGGAGACAGGGCAGAGGCTCCCCGCCCCCCCTGCTCCCAGCCACTCAGGACAGGGTCCAGCCCTGGACACAGTGTCCTCAGAGCCCCCTCCCTCTGGTCACTACAGAAGGGGGCTCGCGTGGCTTCTGCCAAGGAGAAGCTCCTGCCTTTACCCGAGGGTGGCAGGTCTGGAATCCAGGAGAGGAACAGAGCCAGGGAGGGGAGCGGGCAAGGGTCCACTTGAAATCTGGGGGAGTTTTCCAGGGAGCTTAAAGAATGGAAGTGCAGGTGCAGCTGTGGGGTGCGAGGGAGTCTGGAGAAGGAAGGTTTCTGTGGGCTGAGGATCAGAGCGCAAGTTCTGCCTGAGGGGTACTGCTCATCTTGGGGACAGTGGCCATGAGGTGGTAGGGAAGGAAAATGGGAGCCCGGCAGAGTGAGGTCAGGCGGGGATCCGGGTCAGAGGGTCGAGGCTCCCAGCTTGTCCGCTTCCCAGCGCCAGGTTGCCAGCCTGAGACAGCCTTTCACCACCAGACAGCTCTGGGCTGAACTGGCTCAGGAGGACAGCACCCATGATCCCGCTGCTTGTCCTCCTCCTACCTTGCACCTTCAGGGTCACCTCTGGGCCTCTGTCTTGGGCATCTCCTCTAGGAAAGATGCCACCTGCTGCAGGCTCACCCCTCCCGGCCGGGTACCCCCTCAAGCTGTGAAGCCCACTTGGTCACCACAGCCCCTTTGCCGCCCCTTCCCAGGCCCCCCCAGTGTGTGAGACAAGGCCAAGACCACCCCTGCACCCCAGGTCTCACTGGCACGCAGCCCCGCTCCCCAGGGAAGGCTGTGAGTGGGGACACAGCTCCCGCCTAGGGTGGCCTGGCTGTACTGGGGCGGGGGTCTTAGGCTTCATTCTTCAGGCTGATGGGGGGTGTCCCAGGCTCCGGCCCGATAGGGGCACTAGTCTCTCACTGAGGTTAAGCACCAGGATGGTGGCCACAGCCTTTCTTCTACCGAGCCTTCTGTGCCTCTTGTCTGCCTCTTGGGGGTCTTTGACTCTCACCGCCACAAAGCACTCTGGAATCAGCACTGATAAAAACATACACTTTAGGCATGGATATAGCTTGGTGACACAGTGCCTGCCCAGCAAGCACAAGGTCCTGAATTCAATTTCCGGTACCAAAAAAAAAAAAAAATACACTTTATTGTGACTTCACGTTGGCAAGGGCAGCAGCGGAGCATGCGGAGCACCTGCGGTGGGTGTACAGGACATGGCAAAGTGTTCCGGGGCATTCCCTCACCTGATCTCCCGCTGACAGCCCCTGTGCAAGGCTCAGCAGCCTGAGACACGGCCAGGTCCCTTCCTACCCAATAGCGCCCAAGCGATGGGGCTGGTGGGACAGGCTGGGCCATCTGAGCAGGCATCGTATGGCTCTGGCCACGCTCAGGAACGGCCAGTAGGACCACCCCACTGTCCCAAGCCAGGGGGCAGGGCGGGCAGAAGCAGCTGGCACAGCTCAACGAGAAGCCGCAGCACAGAGGGAGGAGGGCGTGGGAGCCCACACCTGCCAATCCAGCCCTGAGCACCTCAGCAATTTTGTCTCTCTTGATTAAACACCCAAGGAACATCAGACTCACAGACGTGTTTTCTTCTTCTTTGTCTTCCTGAGAACACTCAGAATGGAAGAGTGGGAAACGGCCCCAAGATTCCTGGGCACTTGGCACTTGGTGGGGCAGTGAGTCGGAGGGAAGAGGGATAAAGCTGGGCCCTGGGCTTAAGCAAGTTACAGGCAGCAGCGACAGCAGCGTCCGGGCTCGTTGGAGCCATGGAGGTGCACGGGTGTGCGCACGTGCAGAAGCACACTGCCGGGTCGGGAGCCTGGAGCACACAACAACTGTGAGAACACCAACCACTAAGTGTGCAAAAGATGGACACCACTGGGCACTGCACTGTCCGTGGGGGTGGACAACATGCCTGGGACTCGTGGGTTGTCCCTCTGGGATAGAAGCCGGGTCTGAGAGGCACAGCCCACCACCCACACTGCAGTTCAGCTAGCGAGGGCCCCAGTCAGCCCACCAGGCTGCCCGAGATGCAGGCCGAATGGTCAAAGAGCAGCTGCCGTGGCATCCAGGGTGGGCCACAGGCAACGTGCAGCTCACACCTGGGGGCCGTGGGGCGGCCGTGCTCACTTCCAGCACTGCTCCAGAGAGCCGTGGGGCTGGACCTTGAGCTTCTGTGGGCAGAGCAGCTTGGTGAAGGCTCGGCGGAAGCTGTAGTGGCACAGCGGGTAGAGGACAGGGTTGACAGCCGAGTTAGCCCACAGAAGCCAGAAGGATGTCTCGTACCAGTAGTCAGGGACACAGTGGCCATGGCAGGCCGCTCGGATGATCATCAGCAGGGTGTATGGGGCCCAGCAGAGCCCAAAGATGCTCACAATGATGGCCAACGACTTGGCCACCTTCTTGTCCCGTGACAGGCGGAAGCGCTGAGTGATGCTCTGGGAAACCATCTTCATGCGCTTCTCCAGAGATGCCGAGGATGCGGAGGGCTTGGAGCCCCTCTTGAGGGAGCGTGGCCTCTCCGTGCCCCTCGAGGAGCTGCCGGAGCTGGAGGTAGGTGAGGCTGCCGCGCCGCTGCCACCCCCGAGGGCTGCCTCTCCAGCCTCAGCGCCAGGGCCGGCCTCGCCCACCCCGTACCTGTGCAGTGGCATGGACTCCCCTTGCCCTTTCGGCCAGCAGCCCCAGCAGCCGGGGGGTGGTTGGGGCGGGGAGGACTGGGCCTCTGGCAGGGGGTCTGGGCCAGCCTCACGGGCTCCTCCGTCTAGGCGAAGGCGGGTGCGCCGCTGGATGTTCAGGTAGATGCTGAGATTGAAGAACGTGACGCTGAGGAAGGGCGTGAAGAACTCCAGGGTGGAGGCTGTGATGAGGAAGTACCAGTTGTAGAAGAACTCAGCATAGCAGTGGCCTTCGGGGATAGAGCTGCCCCCGGACAGGTACTCCCAGCTCAGGATGGCGGGCCCGTACAGCAGGAAGGCCAGCACCCACACCAGCACCATCTTCCGCACCGCCCGCCGCGTGTCGCCCTGCTGGGCCCGGTAGGACACCTGCAGTGGGACACGCAGGCAGGAGGGAGGTCACGCCAGAGGGCCCCTGGCCTGCAGCGCTGTTCCTTGTTCTCTGCTCTCCCAGGGAGTGGGCAGAGGCCTCCCGGTGAATCCTGGCTGGCTGCTGTCTGGCCACAGTTAAGCCAGACCTTGCTTCCTTGCCAACCCCACCACCAGTGAGCTCTCCCAGTGCCCCATCTTTGGCCCATCTCCCTGGTGCCAGACTTAGAATCAGCCACCTCCCAGAGCCAAGCACAACTGATTCTGATGTGCGGCATCTTGCAGAAGCCTGAGCCAAGCTGGATGGCCAGCTGTGCAGAAGGTAGGTCCAACTCCGCCCCCGCGCAGGTGCTCCTGCCCCTGGGAGCTGGAGATGCAGGAACGAAGCCATGTGCTGGCCCACAACAAACCGCACGCACATGCACACGCACGCACACACACGCAGTAACCCAGCATCCAAATTGTGCATCTGGAAGGTACAGGCAGAGAGGGTGGGCCAGTAAGTCCTTGCTGAGAGTCTCCAACCTCTAAATCCAAAGAGCAACCACCAGCAGGGGGCAGGGGGGCAGGAGGGCCAAAGATCCAGCTGGGGGTGTTGGGGGAAATCCAGAGAAAGTGAGGAGGACCTGTAACTCGCCATCACTTGGCCCGATGGCCTTTATCTTGGGGACACAGGAGCAGTGACCAGAGCGACAGCTATCCGTGGATCTACGGTGCCGTGTTGTGGGCGTATTGGGACATTAGCTTATTTAAGACCGCTCCATTTCCCTGGTGGCTCAGGGAGGACCGGAGGGACTCTGGAGGACCTCAGGATTGTTCCTTTTGTATTCTGCTCCTCAATCTTTCTAGGCTCAAAGAAGCCTGCTCCTCTGATCAGGCCTGCGCGGTCAGGGCTGAGGAGGGGTGCAGTGCCGTGGCCCCGCCTCACGCTGGCATCCACACAGTTTCTACTCAACTGGGCAGGTCCAGGCTAACTTCCCACTGAGGAGAACGGGCAAAGCCAAGGGCAGCAACCTGTCCTCCTATAGCTCTTGTGCAGCTCAAGGAAGGGACACAGACCCCCTCTCAGCTCTGGGCACTTTGGGCCCACCCCAGGCCCGAGGCTGCTCAGTGACCCCCTTCCTCAGGAGCAGCTGATTCCTGGGCAGACCCCTGCTTTTATCCATGCCAGGACCAGCCAGTGGCCTCTGAGTGGGCACATGGCCAAGTAGTGCCCACAAGTCAGGTCTGAGGCCAGCAGGGATCACGCCCAAGGAGTGAGACTCAGTACTTGCAGCCCAGGACTCACCGCTCTGGTGACAGACAGGAAGCGGTCATAGCTGATAAGCACAATATTGAAGACCGAAGAGGTGCACAGCAGGTAGTCCACCACCAGCCACAGCTTGCAGAGGCCCCGGCCGAAGGTCCAGCGGCCAGTCAGCACATAGGGCACATACAGTGGGATGCAGAAGGCCCCTGAGCGAGAGGAGGGGTGCGATGAAACCACGGGTGACAGGCGCTTGGGATCAGACCCAGCAGGCCTGGGATTCCCAGGGCGGGCACTGCCTGTGGCTGGTATCTCTTATCTTATTCTCTTGTCCCCCAGGCTGCAGCTCCCAGACCCACTGAGCCCCTGGACTGGGAGCAGGCGAGGGGATCGGATCAGGTGCAGAGACCCCTGGACTTCTGTCTGGTCCTTGGAGCCCCCAAGAGGAAAAAGGAAGGGCACCTCCTTTCTCCTCAGCTCCCACGCTGGATTAGACCCTACCCTGGCTGTGGACAGCTCCATCCTCAGTTCAAAAATTGAAAAAGCTTTTTTTTTTTTCTTGGCTTAAAGGGCTCTTGGCCCCAGCCCCCGCCAAACACTCCCACAGCCAAAACTGCCTTGCAGCGTCTGGGAGAAGCATCTGGCAGCCCCAACAGGTGTCTGGCGCTCCGGCCCCCTCTGCGCGCCCCGCCCCCCGCCCTCCAGCCGGCAGCAGCGCATGGACACGTGAGCGCACGCTCCTGGAGCATCGCCCACACCCCACCCCCGCCTTCCCCGCGGTCCCCTTCCCCAACACGGCTCCAAAACCCCCTTCGCTGTCCTCTCCACCAACCTCCCTAGCCTCCCCGCAGCACCCTCCGCATGTCCTGAGCCCACCGCAGCCTTTGTTTGGCTACGGCGCAGAAGCCGGCGCTGCACCCGCGGCCGCTGCGCCTTGCGCTGCGCCGAGCACCCGCCGGCTCAAGGCCCTTCCTAGGGAGGTCTCTCCGCAGCCCCTGTCTGGCCTGAGAGGCGGGCAACTTCGCCCGCGCCCACTGCCCCGAAGGCTCTGATGCCCCTTCCCCAGCCCGGGCCCCGGAGGTCTGTGTGCTGCCCCAGCTCCCCGGGCCTCCAAGCTCGGATGGTCCGGTGGGCTCAGCTCCCCCGGGCTCGGGCAGCGGGCGGGGTCTGGGGGCTTTACCCACGAGGAAGTCGGAGATGGCGAGGTTGAGCAGAAAGAAGTTGTTCTGGGTGCGGAGGCTCGAGTCGGCCACGAAGGCGAGCATGACCAGCGCGTTGCCTAGCACCGTGGCCACGATGAGCAGCGCCATGAGCGCGGCCAGCACCGCGGTCCAGGCGGCGGAGAAGCTGCGCGCCCCGCCCGCAGCCGCCGCCGCCTCTCCCGCCAGCGCCCCCGACGCGTTCACCAGCCCGTCGGGCGGCGCGCGCTCCATGGCCCCGCAGGCTCACGCGGCGCCGGGGCGCGGAACAGGGCGCCGGCTGCAAGCTGGGCGTCCGGGTGGAGCCCCGGCCCGGGAACCTCGTCTTTGCCGGCAATCGGCCCAGCCCGGTTTTCCGGGGGGCGCCCCGTGCATGGTCCGCGGGGCAGGGGTCGGAGCCAGGAGGCTGGGGTCGGAATCCGAGACGAACAGGGCGGGAGGCGAGACCGCTGCAGAGCAGAGAAGCTGAAGCGGAGTCGGAGTCCCGGCCACGGCCGGCTCGTCCGTGCACCCGGAGCGCAGCGCGCCACGGAGTGCGCCCAAGCCCAGCCCGCCGCCCCCCGCGCCCAGAGCCCCGCGCCCGGCACAGAGCCCCCGCCATTGGCTGGCGCCCTCGCCCCGCCCCCGCCCCGCCCCCGCCCCGCCCGGCGCGGGCAGCACCATGGACAGCGCCGCGTGCCCGCCGGGCCGGCTGGAGCCCCAACCTGGGTGCGCACGCGGCTGGCGGGGTACGCGGTCCGGGCACGGCCGGGCCGCGGAGCGGGGGTCTGATATCAGTGGCAACTGGGGGGTCTGATATCCGCCTCTGGGCTGCTCTGCCTTCCTAATGTCTTGGCCCCGGTGGCCCCTACGTGGCCGGCGTTAGAAGCCCGGGCTCCTGTGTGGATCTGGGGTGGAGGATGGGGAAAACGCCTGCACCCGTTGGGGGACTTGCTCGCGGCTCTCCTCCTCACTTCCTGCTTCTGGGAAGTGGGTTTCTGGAGGAAGAAACCTCCCCAGGAGAAGGGGTAGACAGGGGGTCTCTGAGAGAGTCGTCTGACCGAGGGCTCGGCCTCCTATGCACGGGACCCTGGGTCTCAGTCTTCCCGTGGGCAGGGCCTAGAGCAGCGTCCAGGGTGACCTGCAAGATACACACAGATGTGGAGTTACATAAGGGAAGACGCGGCCGAGCAGACCCAGCAGGGATCAGAGCAAGCCCACCCGGGGCACAGCAGGCTCCAGGTGTAGGGAGGAGCAGCAAGAATCTTGGAGAGGGGCCTCGGATCCCGCGGCTGGACAGTGCGGTGGGCGGGTCACCGCTGCAGCGGACAGGCGAGGTCACTGCGCTAGGGGCGCAGCCAGGGCGGCAGCGGCTGCGTTAGCGCCGCTGGCGCGGCGCGGGAGGGGGCGGGGGAGGAGCGCCAGCGGGAGGGCGCGCCCCCCCCCGCCCTCGCCACACGTGCTTGGATACTCAGGGTCAAGGACAGGGTTATCTGGTGAGGCTCAGTGCAGACAGACAGACATGCCCACGCTCAGACACCCATAAACCTACAGCCAGGGAAACAGCGACAGGCTGGGACCCGAAAACAGTCAGACATCAGACAGCAGACAGGGAACAGTGCCCGAGGGAGAGGGAAGCAGCGACTCTGCTCGGTTGCCAGCGGCGCACATCCGTGGATGCCTCAAAGAAGACGAAAATGAGCCCATGAGGGGGTGGGGCAGGCTGCTGGGGGAGGGGCTGCAGAAGGACCCCAGGCGCGCGCAGGGGCTCCGTCCTGACAGCAGCTTGTGGTGATTTGCGCCTCGCTCCAGCCCACGCTGTGCTTGGAAACTTTGGGGCATGGGTCAAGGAGCCTCTCTGCTCACTGTGCGGGGGGCTGGTCACAGAGACGAGGCCCCAGACCCAAGGCTCCACCGGCCCACTGCGCACAGCCTCCAGGAGTCTGCTCTAGGGGAGGGACTGATTCCGCTGCCCTCTTCCCGGAAGCCCCCTCAGATGTCTTCTGGGCAGCTCCTCAGTTTCCCCCACCCCGCGACACCCCAACTTGCACTGTGAGCAGGGACTGCACTGGGTTTAGGCACATACTTAGTGACGAGGTGGGACATTCCCTGGAGTGGCCAGCGGGGCTGCTGGGCCCCATGACAGGGCTGTGCAAGCCTTCCTTTGACCCGGCGGGGGCAGGGCTCACCGTCCCCATCCTGCTGAGCAGGTGCCACCATGCCCTCTTCTCCCACCACCCCCAAGGCCAGCTCCAGCCAGACATGCTGTGTGTGTCCCTGGGGTCCCCGGAGATGGGGAGGCTGGAGGCTAAGAAGAGGATGCTAGTTCTCACTCACCAGCCTCAGTTTCCCCACCGTGCACTGGGAATCACTGCCTGTCTAGAGCTGAGGAGCCAAGTAAACGAGAGTCCACGAAGTCTGTCAGACTGGCCACATCTGTTCTGGTGATCATCACTGTGGAAACTCACGGGTGGCAATGGAGCCTGGAACTTTGATACCCCAAGAACAAAGGCCTGGAGGGGGTCTGGGTAGCATTTCTCCTTCCCTTTCATCCACAGATGTCCAGATGTCCAAGAATCTCCTTGTCTACCACCCATCCATAGAGCAAGCTGGGGCCAGGCCACGTGGGCATAGGCACTTCCCTGGGGGTCTCTGCCCCAGCAGCTGGGTAGGAACAGCCCAGTGCACATCACTGTACAGTTGTTCTGGGGATTCACAGCCTGTGGCAGGGTGGGAACAGCACGCAAGAGCTCAGCCCTTCCCCTAAGGGCACCCGGCGGGCAGTGGAGGTGGATTCACCTCAGATCCTGGCGCCGAGGGTCCAACCCTGTAATATCACGGTGAGTTACCAAACTTTTCTGACCCTTGAGATCTTCTGTCAATGGAGGCCAACAGGAACCAAGTCACCTTAAGGTCTGATGACAGCCGCTGCTGGTGCTGGGCGCCCCCTATTGTCCAGACTCTTTGCCAGCACTTATATGCACGACCTTGTTAGCCCCGAGGCGGCGCAAGAGTGGGCAGGAGTCCTTGTTTAGAACTGCAAGGCGCCTGCCTGGGCTCCTGCAGCGCAGTGTCTCAGCCACCACAAGCCTGGTCCAGCCCTCAGGTGGAGGTCTTCGAGGTGGTGAGCATACCAGGCTGGCAGTGTCCACACCCAGGGCCTTGGCTGAGCCTGATTCAGCCTAGGTGGTGAACATGAATGCAGTGAGTCCCACACGGCACTCTGCCCCGAGGTTGTCTTGAGTGGCTCTCTGGGCTGTGCACGTTGTGGAGGAAAAGGTAGGTGGCCAGGTAGGAGTAGCCATGACTTCAGGAGCAGCGATCCGCATCCTGGCAAGTGGGTCAGGGCTCTGAGAAAAAAAGGCCTGGAGATGGTGATCTGAGCCGCTGGCACTGGCCTGGTGTATGGCTGTGATAGGTTTTGTGTCACCCTCCAGAATGCATCTGCCACCATGGGGTAATGATGCACACAGGCACAGTGGCCACACCGAGGCTGCATGTGGGCTCAGGAGCACAGACTGCCACAGGCTGAGTCTGCTGCTGCTTCTACTTCTGAATGTCAGACACCAGCACAGACCAGCTCCAAGCTGCCAAAGGCACCGTCTGAAAGGAGGACACATTGGGCGCCAGCTGTCCTGGTCCTCACAGGATCCCCTCTGTGTACCTGACCGGGTTTGGGTTTGTCCCACTTACTGACAAAGCCTGCACCACAATGCAGGAGCTCATGGAGTTCTGATCCGCAGATGTGACATCCAGCCAGGGGGCCCTCTTCCCAGCAAAGAAAACCTGAGACCCAGAAACCTGGGCTGCATTGCTGGCCACACCTCCCAGGAGCCACTGGCCTCATGGGACTGATCTCCCATAAGCACAGTTGGGCTGTCCTGCAGGATTCGGATTTGAATCAGAGACCTCTGCATGGCACCACGTCTCCAACAAGAGAGGGACAGGGATTGAGGAGCCAGGAGTGGTGACAGGTGTGGCCCACTCGACACCTTCTCCATGATCGTTCTGCAGCAGGCCGCTATGGGCTCGGCGGGGTTACAAGTCCTCACTGGGGACACAGGAAGGGCTTCCCTCAGAAGCGTTTTGAGAGCCTTGGACCCAAGGCTCAGCAGCCCGGAAGGCTGATGGTGAGTGGCTCTGGCCAGAAGGAGAGGGCGGACCTCCTGCTGCACAGAGGTTTGGGGGAGCAGGTGTGGAGGTCAGGAGCCCTCTTGGGCACCATGATACTCCCTTCTTGGTGTTTCTATGAATGCACGGGTGCAGCTCCCCTGGTACAGCAGCAGGTGTGCAGATAGGCCCCCAAGACCTACAGGGTGACTTCAGAAGACAGTGTTGACATGGAAGATGCGAGCTGGCCCCAGACTTTGAGAAAAGCCCAGAGTCACCCACATTGGCCTGGCTCCTGCAGTCATGTGGGCTGGCTGATGGCAGGGTGCACAGCATCACCTGAGTCCCACAGTGGCCAGGGAAGATAGAGGAAGGGTGGAGAGGGCAGGACGGGAGCATGGTAACTCCGTGCTCTAAGTGTGTTGGAATGGAGCCTTGGCCTTCCAGAGCAGTGGGGGAAGGGCAGCTAGAGCCTGGGGTGGCAAAGCCAGCTGGCCGCTGGCTGTGTACCGGTGCTGTCCCGGGTAGCAGCTCTACCCCAGCTTCTCTTGCTGGGCTCAAGAAGACCTTTCTGCCTTGGACCAAGGGTGAGCCCAGTGTCGCTGTGTACGGAGCTCCGCTCCTGCTGTTCAGGACATGGCTCACTAATGAGAAATGATGAGGGCTCGGGGCCTCGAGGGCCAGCTGTCCTGCTGGGGACAGCCAAGGCCCTGGTCAGGGTCTGGGTCCTGCGCCAGGCCATCTCTCAGAGAAACTGCTGTTTGTTCTCTCTCAGCAGGAGCTCATTTGGATATAGGAATGCAGATTTCCCTGTTCATTCCTCCCCCACCCGTGACATTCTGAGCCAGCTCCGCGCATCCTGATGAGCTCAGGGCCTGGGCGTGATAAAAATGGTATCTGAGTCCACCAGTTTGGAAAAAGAGCTGGGTCTTGCTCTTTCCGTTTTGGGGACCAGGCAGAATCAGGTCCAAGGCGCAGGTGTTGGAAGGGGTGGGGGGACAGGAAATCTAGAGACAGAGATGCTGCTGGTTGTCAGCAAGTCACAGAAGCCAGCTCAGGAAAGCCTTGGGGGAAATAAGGGTTTTTGTCACCCAGGCCTGATGAGTCCAGCATGACCAGCGTCAGACACGGCTGCATCCAGCTGCCCCCCTGCCATTCACCTTTCCCTGTTTGCTTCCTTCCGGACACCGAGTGTCCAGCACTCTCTGTAGGACCCTCTCTGTAGGACCCTGTCAGAGCCTTCTTCACCTCCAGGAGGGCCAGGGAGCTGCTGAGAGAAGCCCGGAGTCACCCACATTGGCCTGGCTCCTGCAGTCAGGTGGGCGGGCTGACGGCAGGGTGCACAGCATCACCTGAGCCCCGCAGTGGCCAGGGAAGATGGAGGAAGGGTGGAGTGGGCAGGACGGTGGCCGGGTGCCTGATTCTGTGCAGCTGCCCTGTCCCCATTCTCCCAAGGAGCTGAAGAGCCACAGGG